AAGGGGCCCAAACCAAGCACTGAGTACATATGCCTGCTTCTCAGAGGTCCAATATTGCTCTATTTGCAATCCTTGTTTTGCTGATTTCATTTAATATTCTAATTTTCTGAGATTGTTAAGTTGGGGTTTTCATCAGCTGTACGCCATGATCATCACAATTATAACAAATAAAGGCTTGACATATCTCACTTTGCATGTCATGAGTCTATCTCATATATTAGTTTCACCTTTTAAGTTGAATTACTGAAATAAATGAACTTTTCCACAATATTCTAATTTTCCAAGTTTCACTTGTAATAATAATAATCAAATTTTATTTATATCCCACCCTCCCCAACCGAAGCCGGGCCTCAGAGCGGCAAACAACAATGAAAAACACACAGTTTACCTAAAATCACAATCAATTAATTGAGATACATTCTAAAATGAGTTCATTCTAAAATCAATTCTGAATCAGATTAATGGCAACCATTGGGCTAGAGTTCTGTGAGGATTACCAAAGGAGGGTCAGGCTGTGCCCTGGCCAAAGGCCTGGTGGAACAGCTCTGTCTTGCAGGCCCTGCGGAAAGATGTCACGTCTCGCAGGGCCCTAGTCTCTTGTGACAGTGTTCCACCAGATCGGGGCCACGGCCGAAAAAGCCCTGGCTCTGGTTGAGGCCAGCCTAACCTCCCTGTGGCCTGGGACCTCCAATATGTTTTTGTTTGAAGACCGTAAGGTCCTCCGTGGGACATACCAGGAGAGGCGGTCCCATAGGTACGAGGGTCCTAGGCCGTATATTTATTTTGACGTTGTGAACCACCGTGAGACCTTGTATAGGGCAGTATACAAATTTAATGAACAACAACAATAATAACCATTAACAAATTTAAACAACCACAACCAAGCCGTAAGAAGAATGGTTGAAGGACCTGGCTATGCTTAGCCTGGAAAAGAGGAGACTGAGAGGAGATATGATAGCCGCCTTCAAATATCTCAAGGGCTGTCCCATGGAAGAGGGTGCAAGCTTGTTTTCTCCTCCTCCAGAGGGCAGGACTGGAACCAAGGACTTGAAGCCCCAAGAAAGGAGATTCCGACTAAACATCAGGAAGAACTTTCTGGCAGTAAGAGCAGTTAGACGGTGGAACAGACTCCCACAAGAGGTGGTGGACTCTCCTTCCTTGGAGGTTTTTAAGCAGAGATTGGATGGTCATCTGTCATGGATGCTTTAGCTGAGATTCCTGCATTGCAGGGGGTTGGACTGGATGGCCCCCAGGGTCTCCTCTGTAATAAACGAAAATCTGCCCTTATTCCCTTATGGGGGACACAAGAGCCCTTATAGAGTCCTTTGCAGGTTCTCCATTGGTCGGAGAAAAGAACAGAGGCCAACCAGAGAATACTGAGAAGCAAAGCAGCTAGTAAGCCTGTTTTTTATTGAACTGTTGCAACAGGGTGCTCCCCTCACACGCAGGAGGAGGAGGAGGACCCAGAACCAAGGTAGGTGTGTCCGCCCTTATATAGACATTTTAAATTGCCCACCCTGCAGTCCAAGACCACCCCCAGAAATATCATAGGTATATCACAGAAAGGGTGGTCTACAACAGAAATCTGAGTGCGTTGTTTACCTCCTGTCTGGCAGGTTACCTGTTAATGCTTACTTGATTGGATACCCTGGGGAGCCTGGCCAGTCTTTTGTAATGATAAATACTTAGTTCCTGAGCCAGGTCACAGGCTCACCCTATTCATACACAGACATACCCTTAAGACAGGATTTGTGAAGGAAAAGACAATGGGGAGGCTTTTCCATTTTCCTTGACCTTGCAGAGAAATCATTTGATCAGTTTGGGAGTCAAAGTGGTTCCCGGGCTGTTTTCCTGTGCTGCTTCAGACATGTGGTTTATATATTTATGTACGTGGTTTGATTGGTACATTTATGAACATTTCTTATATATACAGTGGTGCCTCGCAAGACAAAATTAATTCGTTCCGCGAGTTTTGTCGTCCTGCGATTTTTTTCGTCTTGCGAAGCACGGTGTCGGGAAAGTTTTGGAAAAACTTCAAAAATCACCAAAGTCTTTAAAAACCTCAAAAAAGGCTACCACACCGCGTTCTATGAGTTGCTCCTCAAAGTCAAGTCGCAACTGTATTAACGGTGTTAAGAAAAAGGAAACAAACTTGCAAGACGTTTCCGTCTTGCGAAGCAAGCCCATAGGGAAAATCGTCTTGCGAAGCAGCTCAAAAAAACCCAAAACCCTTTCATCTAGCGAGTTTTTTGTCTTGCGAGGCATTCGTCTTGCGAGGTACCACTGTATAGGACACGGATGGTGCTGTGGGTTAAACCACAGAGCCTAGGACTTGCCGATCAGAAGGTCAGAGGTTCGAATCCCCGTGACAGGGTGAGCTCCCGTTGCTCGGTCCCTGCTCCTGCCAACCTAGCAGTTCAAAAGCACGTCGAAGTGCAAGTAGATAAATAGGTACCACTCCGGAGGGAAGGTAAACGGCATTTCCGTTCGCTGCTCTGGTTCGCCAGAAGCGGCTTAGTCATGCTGGCCACATGACCCGGAAGCTGTACGCCGGCTCCCTTGGCCAATAAAGCGAGATGAGCGCCGCAACCCCAGAGTCGGTCGCAACTGGACCTAATGGTCAGGGGTCCCTTTACCTTTATTATATACCGTATTTTTCGCTCTATAACACACACCTAACCATAACACGCACGTAGTTTTTAGAGGAGGAAAATCCGTAGGCATGCCACCCGTAGGCATTCCCTCCATAACATGCACAGACATTTCCCCTTACTTTTTAGGAGGAAAAAAGTGAGTGTTATGGTGCAAAAAATACGGTATATATATATGACCTTAATTTTTTATTTCACCTCCAACTCTACAATTCTATGGTTCTGTGATTCTATTGTAAATTTAAATGGTTTCCTGTGTGCCTAACTATCTGTTGTCCAGGTGCTACAACTTGATGGTCAGATTGAAGGCCCACCTGCCCTCATTTTGGAGGGTGCTTTCTCTTTAAGCCAGACGGCCCTTCAGTGAGTGGAGCATCCCTTAATCCCCCCCCCCAAATGCATGACTGTAGGAAAAACCCCAAAAAACTTTTCCAGAGGAATTTAATAAATTTGAACTGAAGGCTTAATAAGAAATTTGAAGCAGGAAGAGAGGAAATAGGGTTGGGGTTTGTTGTTGTTTTTAAACCACTAATAAAGGGGGGAATATACAACAATGCTCTGGGAAATAAATATTAATTAATTCCACAAGATACACCGTAAATTAAGGTAAGGAGTTTCTTTTTTTTTTGTAATGTTTAAACTTTTAATAAATATCATTAAAAAAAAGAAAAGAAAAACAAGCAGAACTAGGAACGAAATGTTTTGAAATATTCTCCTTTTTTGCATTAAGGGTTTTTTTTCTTTTATTTTCTCAATTGTGCAATCTTATATCTCAATACAGTATCTATCTATGGCACTATGTTATGAATTGCAGTTATTCTCCAACCGGTAATTAAAAACAACACACTATATAATCTGCATGACCGAAGAAGCAGCTCTTGGCTCAAACTCGGATCTGGAGAAAACCGCAGCTTCGCCCTCTTGTGGCTGCAGCTGGTAACTGTTTTCTCCCAGCTTCTGGGATGGCCTGCCCTCTTCTGGTGAAACAGGGAACTTTGCGAAACGACTCGAGGAAAGTGGTTATTAAATTCACCCTCAACAAGGAAGTGACGAAACATTGCCAGCCTGCAAAACAAATACTGCAAATAAAAAGGACTGGCTGTTGGGGCCTCGTGTGTCTCCTGAAGCAGCCCACTGGATTTCTTTGCTGCTGAACACAGAGAGCTACTTAACCTACTCAATTACAGCTAGCTCACGCTAGGGATGGCCAATATATTCATATATCATCCAAAACCGGTTTGAAGTTCACATTATGATAATTGTTTCATAATATTTGAGCTGGCAATGTATCGCGAATCACAATGTGTGTAAGCAGTGCCAGAGTTACGTATAAACTAAACAAGCTATAGCTTAGGGCCCCACTCTCTTGGGGGCCCCCCCAAAAAATTAAAGGAAAAAACCTGGATGTAATGGATGTTGATAAAATACATATTTTATGTGCAAATGGCTTTAGATACCTATTAGGTCCATAAATTGCCATATAGCATATATTCAACACAAAAAACAGCGACAATTTGTTGTTGACAAAGGACAGCTGGACATATAAAGGGCCCCATTACGTTCAGTAGCTTAGGGGACCCCTGACCATTAGGTCCAGTCGTGACCGACTCTGGGGTTGCGGCGCTCATCGTGCTTTATTGGCCGAGGGAGATGGCGTACAGCTTCCGGGTCATGTGGCCAGCATGACTAAGCCGCTTCTGGCGAACCAGAGCAGTGCATGGAAACACCGTTTGCCTTCCCGCCGGAGCGGTACCTATTTATCTACTTGCACTTTGACGTGCTTTCAAACTGCTAGGTTGGCAGGAGCAGGGACCAAGTAACGGGCGCTCACCCCGTTGCGGGGATTCGAACCGCCGACCTTCTGATTGGCAAGTCCTAGGCTCTGTGGTTTAACCCACAGTGCCACCCACGTCCCCTTCAGTAGCTTAGGCCCTCATCAAACCTAAATCCAGCCCTGTATGTAAAGGCTAGGCAATATCTGGTTTTCAACATTGCGATAACTCCCCAGCTAAGCACTGCAATGTTATAAGCAACTAAACCTCACACTATCCGCCTGCTAAACACTGCAATGTTGTCACCAGAAGAACATTGCAATCTTCCACAATATTTCAGACGGAACTACTGTATACAGAGACGAACAGGACAATGTCCTGATGACTAATAGTATACTTAGGGGTCCAAAATGGTTACATGACAACTTTATCAAACATCACACACTCCGTTTCATCAGCAGGCAAGGCAAAATGCATCCCAACAGGACTTTGGGTTTTGGACTTGGCTACCAAATGGTGGTATTCAGGGGAATCCAAAGTACGATGATGAGTCATTGTGAATACAAATAATCTGGGACTGCCAGCAGGAATGATGGAGGCAGAAGCAGCAGTGGCAGAAACAGCTTGCTGTGACCACGGTACGTGTCAGCAGTAGTGGCGACAACCTGCAAGGACTTGAGGTGGTGGCTCAATCAGTGGTAGCCTGCGAGTCTTTGTGGTGGTGACAGGAGGGGGCAGTGGCAGCGGAAAAATCAGTGGCGACTTACAAAGCCTCACAGTGGTGACAGGAGCCGGCGGCAGTAGCAGCCTGCAAGGTGGCAGCCTCAAGGCCTTGTGGCGGTGATAGAAAGTGATGGCAGTATCAGCAGCGACCTGTCACTCACAGCAGTGACGGGAGGTGGCGACAGTAGCAGTGGTGGCCTGCGAGGCCTTGTGGCTGCAACGAGAGGTGACGGCAGTAATGGCGGCAGCCTGCAAGGTCTCGCGGCAGTGAGTAACGGCAGCAGCGGCAGAGTGCGTGGCTTTGCAGCAGCAACGGGCGGTGGAGGCTTGTGAGGCCTCACGGCAGCAACAAAAAAGTGGCAGCAGTAATGGTGGCAGCCTGCAAGGCGGTGACAGAGTGACAGCAGTGGCAGTGGGCTGCGAGGCCTCACAGCCATGACAGGGAGTAACTGTTAAGTTGTGGGTGAACATATCAGACGACACAGCAATTCTTCAAACAGCTCTTGTATATTAATAGGCCCAGAACAGAACTGAACCGAAGGGTTCAGCCAACCTGCTTATATAGAACTCCACTACTAGGCAACAGTAACAACTTTCTGTAACTATCCAATCACTGAACGTCACTTTCAATCCCTTATTTGCATATGTGGACCTGAGTGAAAACTATCTACAGTATCCTCCTGCTGGCCCAGGGTGAGAACTTCAGTACATAACAGTAACGGCAGTAATAGCACCCTGCAAGGCTTCATGGCGGTGACAGGAGGTGGCATCAGTAAGGCGGCAGCCAGCAAGGCCTTACCGCGATGACAAAACAGTGGTGGCCTGCAAGGCCTTTCAGCGATGATAGAGAGTGATGGCAGTAGCGGCGGTTGACTGTAAGGACTCACAGCAGTGATGGGAGGTGGCGGCAGTAGCGGTGGCGGCTGCGAGACCTCATGGTGGTGACGGAAAGTGGTGGCAGTAATGGCAGCGGGCTGTGAGGCCTTGTGGTGGTGATGGGAAGAGGCAGCAGTCATGGCATTGGCCTGTGAGGCCTAGCAGTGGCAACAGGATTTGGCAGCAGAAACGGTGGTGGCCTGCGAGTCCTTGTGGCAGCGGCCTGCGTGGACTCGTGGCACTGACAGGAGGTGATGGCAGTAGAGGCGTCCTACGAGGCCTTGACTGCGAGGGTCATCTAGTCCAACCCCCTGAACATAGCTATCAACTTACAGATTTGAAAATAAGGGACCAGCAGCCTCAAAAATAAGGGATCAGCAGCCAAAATAAGGGTTTTTCCAAGAAGTATGTTCAACTTCTGAGCCCCTCCAAGGCAAAGGCAGAAAGCCCAGCCAGCAGCCAAACGAAGCCTCAGGCGGTGGTTCCCACAGTGCAGCAACCCGGCAAAGGGGATGCAGCAATCACCTCTCCGCTGGGAAGCGCTGAGCAAAGGCGAGTCCCCAGGCAACGATTTGATCGGCACAAGGCATGCAAGCTCCACCCCCCAGTCGTTCTTAGACTCCTTATTGGGTGAGCAACGCAGCCAAGCAACACAGTTGGAGCCTACCTCCTCCCTGGCCGGCAGGGAGGGAGGGAAAGGAGTTGCTTCCTTTGAAACCCAGGAAATTTAAGGGACATCATCAATAAGGGACAGCAGCGGGACACGGCACTGGGATAAGGGACTTTCCCGCCAAATAAGGGACGGTTGACAGCTATGCCCCTGAAATGCAGACATCTTTTGCCCAACATGGGGTTCTAACCCATGAACCTGAGATTAAGAACTGCATGTTCTAATGACTGAGTTATGCAACATGCCCACGTTTAGACACATACGCATGATTAGAGGCACTCTAGCCAAAGCTACAAAGACATCTAGAATATTTCTGTGGATGGTGACAATCGTCTGTCCTCATGTATATGTGCTATAACCTGCAATTTGGATTTTCTATGTGGGGCACAGCTGTAGTTTCATTGAACAAATCTGCACATCCTTATCTCACTTTGCACTGGTGATAAATTTTGCAGGGGCCGTTTGCATGGGGACCAATGCCAGGAGATGTCTCTGCTTCCTGTTGGGAAAACGCTAACATTTATTCATGAAAGATGAACCTGCCTGGAGAAATAAGAAACTAGACCCGACTGCTCATCCATTAATAAATGTCTCAGTGACGCTGCCAACAACGTTTTAATCTCCACTGCGTCTCTCTCTCTCTCTCTCTCTCTCTCTCTCTCTCTCTCTCTCTCTCTCTTATATTTTGTCCCATTCTTGACAAATTAAAATTTCCCATTACAGTAAATCTTTGGAGTTCTCTTGTCTTTAGCTCCATGACTCAGGCTGCCGGATATTAGCTGAGAGCTCCGTTCTAATAAATAAATAAATAACTCGGCTAATTGAAATGGCGAGGTGTCGCAGATAGACATTTTTAGGACATTTGAGTGGCAAGGCTGACACGATGCACCCCACTTGACACGGAGCGGCACGTTCCAGAGGAGAGAGAGAGAAACTGAGATCTGGCTTTAAGTGGAAACGTTTCTAAGGCTGACACAGGTGTCTCCATCCTGCCTGGAGTTCTGTGCAGGTTGTGAGGACCTCTGACCATGAGGAGTAGAAATATATTATCCTACGCTCATCGCTCGAGTTCCCAAGGCTTGACATTGCATCTGAGCTATGAACCCAGCCCCTCTCATCTTGTAAATTGGTTGTGCCTTTTTCAGAGCAGGTAGTCTGCCTTCCTGGGACGCGGGTGGAGCTGTGGTCTAAACCACAGAGCCTAGGACTTGCCGATCAGAAGGTCGGTGGTTCGAATCCCCGTGACGGGGTGAGCTCCTGTTGCTCGGTCCCTGCTCCTGCCAACCCAGCAGTTCAAAAGCACGTCAAAGTGTAAGTAGATAAATAGGTACCGCTCCGGCGGGAAGGTAAACGGCGTTTCCGTGCGCTGCTCTGGTTTGCCAGAAGCGGCTTAGTCATGCTGGCCACATGACTTGGAAGCTGTCTGTGGGCAAACGCTGGCTCCCTCAGCCTATAGAGCAAGATGAGCGTGTAACCCCAGAGTCATCCGCGACTGGACCTAATGGTCAGGGGTCCCTTTACCTTTTTAGTCTGCTTTCCTAGCTGCAGAAGTGAAGGGCTGTGGGGAAGAAACTTCAGTAAATACTCAAAAACACATTTGCTTATAATTGCTACCGTCCAGAGGCAAAGGCCCATAGTTTAATAAATTTAATAAATAGTAATAAAATATATCTGTTGCCTGTTATACAGAGTTGGGCGGGTTTCGGTTTGTGATTATGACATGTATATTGTGTTTTCGTATTGTAAACCACCCTGTGATCTTTGGTTGGATATGCATACTCTCCGACATTTCTCAGATGAAAAGAGACGTCCTATTCCATAATAATAATACAGTGGTACCTCGGGTTAAGAACTTAATTCGTTCTGGAGGTCCGTTCTTAACCTGAAACTGTTCTTAACCTGAGGTACCACTTTAGCTAATGGGGCCTCCCACTGCCGCCACACGATTTCTGTTCTCATCCTGAAGCAAAGTTCTTAACCTGAGGTACTATTTCTGGGTTAGCGGAGTCTGTAACCTGAAGCGTATGTAACCCGAGGTACCACTGTAATAAAAATTTATACCCCGCCCATCTGACTGGGCTGCTACAGCCACCCTGGGCAGCTTCCAACCTATATAAAAACATAACAAAACATCAAACATTTAATAACTTCCCTGTACAGGGCTGCCTTCAGATGTCTTCTAAAGGTTGCATAATTATTTATCCCCTTGGGTCGCATAACTGCACACCCTCCAACATTTCTCTGATGGAAACAGTGATGTCCTAAGGAAAAGCAGGACATTCCGGGATCAAACCAGAAACCGGGACGACTTCTGCAAATCTGGGGCTCTCCCTGGAATATAGGGACCCTGACCTGTTTTCCAGGCTGCGAAATGGCAATAAACAGCAGCATCCCAGCACAAGGCTGTTGGGAGGGTAAAAACCACAGAGGGCGAGAGATAGGAGCAAACCAGCAGTAAATCACACCAAGCAAGTTGGCGTTAACCCTTTATTAGCAAAAATGGGGATCTGCACAGGAGTGTCAGGCCAAATGAACACAGCAAGTTGTCTATGGCAAGTCCTGCCCCCATGAAGGCGTTGCGGAGGCTGAATTCCTGCTCCATGATTGCAGTCGTGGGATTTTTGTCTATCACACAACGGTGTATGTTTTGACCCCACAGAGTGGGAAGTGACGGAAACAGGATGTTTGTGTTACTGTGTTCTGTGAAGTGGGACTATTGTCCTTTGTTCTTTCTCTTTTTGCTGTCTGATGCTAGAGAGAGAGAGAGCCATGTTGCAGTGCTCCGTGTGTGTTTATATGTAAATAAAGTAGATTAGCCAAAATGCCGAGTTGCTGTCACGTGAACTGTGAAGACTCTGCGGATCCCTAAGTGTGCCGTTGTTGGTTGGCATTGGTCGCTGTGATGTTCGGGCTGAAGAAAGCTTTTGAAGCTCCCGAACGATCGACCAGGAGGGAGAGAACATGCCAGTCGGGCATGTGTCTCTGCCAGGGTCCTACTCGAGTGTAGGACGAGCTCCTGACAGGTCCCTGCCTCCCCACAGCTGCCGAGGTTCCTTCCTCTCCAGGGTTTATCCCAAGCAATCGGAGACTGTGCCTGCATGGAGCCAACGCCTCCTCTGCCCTTTTTATGCCTCTTCTGGTCCTGGAGACCAGGGCGAAGGGGAGCTTGTCACAGCAGAAGGGGGAGACACCCTGGCTTCTTCACCAGCCTGACTTCTGTAGGCCTCTCGGCCTCCCTCCTCTCCTCCTTCCGCTTCTGCCTCCGATTCTCAACTGCTCTCTGCCACGGATTCTCCCAGCTCACTTAGCCCTGTTACCCCCTTCCACTTCCGACACCGCTTCTCCCTCGGATCACAACTTCCCAGGATCTGAGCCTTCTTCCTTTGGGGGTTCCCCAGCTGGTTCCTCCCAACGTTCCTCTGCGTCCAACCGGTGCGTAGCAGCGAGGCATGCTGGGAATTTAAAAGTGTTAGGAAAATAAAACTCTATGCATGGCGACAGGAACACCCCTACCATCCCCCCCTTCCTTCTCCACGTATCCCAGTAGGAATAGCTCTTTGGCACTAGATTTTTTTTTAAAGCAGTTATTTGCGACCATAATGCATCCGGCTGCACTTAGAGTGCTTTTAAAGAGGGTGATTAGCAGCAAACGCTGCACTTCCTTAATGATCACCATTACAAAGCACTGAAAGGAAGCCAGTTCTGGCAGACATCTAGGCTTCACTCTGCCCAGACATGGCCCCTTTTTGACTTCTATGGGGCAGGTTAAGTTGAGAAGTCAAAGCTGTTCCCAGGGTGTGGCCGCTGTCACATGCTGACAGCTTCCAGGAGCCGCAGGTGAGACCTGAGTACAGGGCAGGGACCAAAGGTGGACAAAGTATATCTGAAGGAGCGTCTCCACCCCCATCGTTCTGCCCAGACACTGAGGTCCAGCTCCGAGGGCCTTCTGGCGGTTCCCTCACTGCGAGAAGCCAAGTTACAGGGAACCAGGCAGAGGGCCTTCTCGGTGGTGGCACCTGCCCAGTGGAACGCCCTCCCACCAGATGTCAAAGAGAAAAACAACTACCAGACTTTTAGAAGACATCTGAAGGCAGCCCTGTTTAGGGAAGCTTTTAATGTTTTATGTATTACGGGATTTAAATATTTTGTTGGAAGCTGCCCAGAGTGGCTGGGGAAGCCCAGCCAGATGTAAAGGTAAAGGTAAAGGGACCCCTGACCATTAGGTCCAGTCGTGGCCGACTCTGGGGTTGCGGTGCTCATCTCGCTTTATTGGCCAAGGGAGCCGGCGTACAGCTTCCGGGTCATGTGGCCAGCATGACTAAGCCACTTCTGGCAAACCAGAGCAGTGCACGGAAACGCCGTTTACCTTCCCGCCGGAGCGGTACCTATTTATCCACTTGCACTTTGACGTGCTTTCGAACTGCTAGGTTGGCAGGAGCAGGGACTGAGCAACAGGAGCTCACCCCGTCGCAGGGATTCGAACCGCCAACCTTCTGATCGGCAAGTCCTAGGCTCTGTGGTTTAACCCACAGCGCCACCCGCGTCCCAGCCAGATGGGCAAGGTAGAAATAATAAATTATTATTATTATTGTTGTTGTTGTTGTTATTATATAAAGCACCCCAGAAGGAGCAGGATGTGTCCCCCACCAAGGGACTAACCCTCCCCTAGCACCCCACCCCAGGAACCTTAGCACTACCAAGATATCAGTAGCCATTTTTAAAGATCTGTCCTCCTGCCAGCTGTTTCCCCCACCTTTCTGACAGCCGAGGCAGAATCCCCAACCCAACCAATGCTAGAACAGTTACTCGTTCAGAGAGGCACCGGGCAGTTTCTTTTGAGGGCTGGCGATTCTGCACTGTGTTCTTTGACCATGCCCAGAGTCATGAGTGATGCAATAAAACTACCACCTCCACCTGGCAGGAGAGGAAGAGGCACAACCAGAGCAGCGACTCATGCAGAGACACAGCGGGCAGCCTCCTCTGAGGTACAGATGCCCTCGGCAGCCTACCATAACCATTTGAAGCAGAGCGATTGGAGAGCAGAGCACCATCATGTTTCCTATACCTATTGTTGTTGTTTAGTCGTTTAGTCGTGTCCGACTCTTCGTGACCCCATGGACCAGAGCACACCAGGCACCCCTGTCTTCCACTGCCTCCCGCAGTTTGGTCAAACTCATGCTGGTAGCTTTGAGAACACTGTCCAACCATCTCGTCCTCTGTCGTCCCCTTCTCCTTGTGCCCTCCATCTTTCCCAGCATCAGGGTCTTTTCCAGGGAGTCTTCTCTTCTCATGAGGTGGCCAAAGTACTGGAGCCTCAGCTTCAGGATCTGTCCTTCCAGTGAGCACTCAGGGCTGATTTCCTTCAGAATGGAGTGGTTTGATCTTCTTGCAGTCCATGGGACTCTCAAGAGTCTCCTCCAGCACCAGAATTCAAAAGCAGCAATTCTTCAGCGATCAGCCTTCTTTATGGTCCAGCTTGCACTTCCATACATCACTACTGGGAAAACCATAGCTTTAACTATACGGATCTTTGTTGGCAAGGTGATGTCTCTGCTTTTTAAGATGCTGTCTAGGTAATGTCTTGTTTTTCTCACCAACAGCAGTCTTGAGTGCTAATGGCAGCAAAAGGGGTTGTGAATTTTCTGATAATGCTCTAAATTAATCCCAATCAGAAAAGAAGGGTAACATTTTCTGCGGGGGCGGAGGGCCTGCAGAGCGAGCACAATATATAGGATAATTAAATATTTTTAGGCTCGCCCAGCTCTCATGATTAGTTGCGTTAATTAGAACCGTTTCCTCCCCCTCCTCCTTCGCTCAATGCTTGGGGGAAGAACGGCGCCCCCCGGTGGCCAAAGAAGGAAACAAACGATGACGCCGCCGACCGGGAGCCAAGAGCGTGTGCTGCTCTTTTATTTCTGCAAATGTTTTGAGAATTTCTCTCTCTCTCTCTCTGCATCACTACGGCATCTCTGTCTTGGGAGTGGCATCTCCCCCTTCCTTTTTTTCTTTAAACACTCCACCCAAATTCGGTGCTAGGGAAAAGGGGAAAAAAAATCTACTTTGCATCTTAATTTCTCATTTCAGGGGGAGAAAGGAAGCACGTTGAGAGAGAGAACACTTATTGGGGGGCGGCGGTAAAACAACAGGATTTATTTATTTTTTAAAGTGGGATTTAGCAATAAATCCCCACAAATGCTGGGGAGCAAGAAACTGATCTGCGTTTGCCCGTCAAAGCAATTGCATTTTTTCTTTCCCCCACGTGGTGGCCCCGAAGAGGGAGATACTGGGGGCAAAAAGACGGAAAGGAAAGGACCCCGCAAGTTTCCCCCCTTCTTCTTTCCATGATCAAGCGGGGGGACTTTTTTTAAAAAGAGGGGGGCATGGCGATTTTTTTTGCGGGGGGGGTGTGTCGCGGTTCTGCACCATGGACGGAAGCCTCTGCGGGATAATTCCTAAAGGGGGGGCTGTCGAAGAAGCCTCGTTATCCGAGATGCATCGAGGCGGATGGAGTTTTTTGGGGGGGGGTCGCGCGGAGAGATAGGAGCAACTCATCAGCGCACCCCATAAAATATTTGAGGGTCCGCCTCCCCCCATTGATGGACATTGCCATTCAAAACAGTGCGTTTTGTGATCAATTGCTTGGGGTCCCCCACTGATGGACATTGCCATTCAAAGTGCGTTTTGTGATCAATTGCTTGGGGTCCGCCACCCCCAATATTTTATTCCAATAATAAAATATTGGAATAAAATATTGGCATCCCCGGGGGGGGGGGGAGAGAGCTAAACCCGCTCCCCCGGTTGCGCATCAGCAAAAGGGACCCTCCGGACGCGCCGGCGAGGCTGGTCTGGTCTGGTCCTGGGGGGAGGGGGGACGCCTGCTCCAGGGCGCCGCCTGCTGGCGACGGGAGGGTAGGAGCGCCGCGAGGGGGCCGGCGGCGAGCCGGGGGCTCGGGAGGGCGGAGCAGGGGGTGCGGCATCGGGAGCCGGGGAGCCGCGGCAGGAGCCTGTCTGCCAGCGCGGAGAGGCGGGCGGAGGCGGCGGCGATGTTGCTCCTGCTCTTTTGCCGGCGCGGGGACTGAGCGGCGGCCCGCGCCGTCTTGCCTGCCTGCCCGGGAAGGCGCCATGGAGAGCCAGCTGGCCCGCTGCAAGATCGTGGTGGTGGGCGACAGCCAGTGCGGCAAGACGGCGCTGCTCCACGTCTTCGCCAAGGACACCTACCCCGAGGTACGGGGCGGGGGGGGGGGCAGCCGGCAGCCTCCCGCAGAGGGAGCCACATCCGACGGGGCGGGGATGCCGGAGGGGACGGAAGGGACCCCCGACGGTCGCGGTGGGTGGGTATTGGTGGGTGGGGGGTTCGGGAGATGCAGCCGGAGAGGGGCGTCCAGGCAAGGCGAGCAGGGCTGCCGGTTGGCCAGCGGGGTCTCCGGTTCCTCCGAGGGGGCGGCCGGCCGGCCGGTCTCAGGACGTCGAAGAACCGCAGCTCGGTGGGGTTAGCGCCCGCTTTGCCCAGGTCTTGGATCCCCGACGGCAGCGTCGTCCCGAGAGGGCGGAGAGCCCGTGTTTTTAGACGGTGCCCACTGGGTAGGGTGTTCCCTCGGATGTGGCCGGAGACTGCGGGATTTGGGGGGTCTTAGGAAGGGATACGGCTTGTGTCACCTGTTGGGAGAGCCAGGGGCAAGATGGGAGCAGGAAGAGGCAAACGCACAGAACTGAAATACTCTGGAAGTGGAGGGGCAAAATGCAAGGGGTTGTGTGTGTCCTGTGGGGTGTAAAATAGGTTTTTTGGGGGGCTGAAGGGACCTGGAAGGGATTCTCCGCACAGGGGGCGGTTCAAGGCGCTTCCCCGCTTCTGCCATAATCGATTCCTTCATCTTCCAAGGTGCCACAAAAATCCTCTTTTTCGGTTAGACTGACTTAGCAGGTTAGGTTAGAAAGAGAGTTTGGGTGTCTGGGTGGGGGGACAATTTTGAGAGGGGTGAAGGAGATGGAGGAGGTTCAAGTGAGGAGTCTGGTTCAGGGCAAGCTGGGAGGGAGATTTAGGGTTCTGTAGGGAAACTATGGAACTGAGGAACCGCTGGAACATCAGGCGGAATGTCAGAAACCTGGAACAACCTGCCTGCCTGCCTTTGTGGGGCAGCTGGATTTAGGGCACAGCATCTAGTTCCCTCTAGCTGAGGGCCATAATAATAATAATAATAATAATAATAATGGTAGCTACTAAGAAGCTACGTAAGAAAGCAACTCTACCAAAAGGAATTATTGTGAAAATAAGAAATATTCTTTTTTGCGGGGGGCACCAAATTTTGTCCTTGCATAAAACCGGCCTCTGTTGGGACTGAGGTTTGCAGAACTCAGTAAAAGACCTAGAGCCTCTTCTCAGTGCCTTGGCTGAGTCCTGAGACAGAACTTCCTCTAAGCAACCAGGGAGGACCTCTCTTTTGCTTTTACTGTAACATGGCCAGGATCCCACACGAACCACAAATTCGGACGAAAGGTCTTCCAGAGGCAGAGGCGTGCACCGTAAATGTTTGCTTTCAGAAACGGAGCGTTGCTCTTGGGGTTGTGGGGTCCGGCCGCGAGTGTGTCAGGGACCCAGGCGTGCGAAATCTGGGTTGGGGGTGCTTGCAGGGGGGGGGATGTTTCTCCCAGTCGGCGGCATTCTGTGGTTTCATGCGTTCTGTTGTCTCTGCCGCCCCTCCCTTGCAGAACTATGTCCCCACGGTGTTTGAGAACTACACGGCCAGTTTTGAGATCGAAAAGCAGCGCATCGAACTCAACATGTGGGACACTTCAGGTGAGTGTGGAGCAGGAGGGAGGGATTTGCGCTTGGGAAAGTCTGGGTTGAAATTTGGGTTGGGGGCAGGGAGTGCTCTGGAACTGGTAACTGGGGTGAATTTTGCCTGTCCCAGTTGAGGGTTTTTGCGACATATTCCTGTTTACCCAAATGAATGTGCCCTCTGAGGGATTCCAGGAGTTTTAGCGCCACTGCCGTACAAGGGACAGTTTATTTGTTTGTTTCCTTGTTTTCCTTGACCATTCCTAACCTTGCTTGGAAGATCTTTCTTTCCTGGCTGCAGCTGCCTGGTTTGGAAGTTTTGTGCTTCGCATGTGTTTGGGTGGATACTTTCCTCCCTTATAATTTTAACTTGGAGCATTAGTTTAACCAGTGTTTCCCAAACTTAGGTCTCCTGCTGTTTTTGGACTACAACTCCCATCATCCTTGCTATCTAGGGATGATGGGAGTTGTAGTCCGAAAACAGCTGGACACCCAAGTTTGGGAAACACTCGGAGTTAAACCACCATCAGGCTTTAAATTTCTCCCACTGACTTCCACAAAGGATTATCAGTTTCCCTTTTTCTCTTGGCTCCAGAAATTGCCGTTAACACTCGTGCAGTGTTTTCCAGCATTCTCCTTCCATGCGTTCTTGGGATTATTATAATTTTACCCCAAGGCTCAAGCCTGTGCTGTTTTCTGGAAAACCCTTTCCCTTAATCTCAAATGCGGTAAGGGGAAAATCTCTCTTTCGTATGACTTCATATGTTTCAGCTAAGCACTGGTACTTGGATCCTGGTCTAGTAAAACCTAGTTACACATCAAGCCCTTTGTTGGGGGGAGCAGTTGTGATGAACTGGTGGTGACAGAAAGACTCTTTGTATATGCTCAGAGTTTGCTTCTCCCAGAGCTGGGCAACAGCATTACAAGGTGGTTCTGCTGCTGAGACCTGCTTCAAATCCCATCTCGGATATCCCTTATATAAAATTTCCCCCCTCAACTATAACACCGCTCATAACCCTCTCTGGATTATGTGGGGCTGGCCTGCTTTACCTACTTTTTTGAAAAGGTTATAGGGGGATAACATGATCCGGCTAAAATTGGGTGGGGGTGGAAATCATGATGCTGGAGCTTTCCAATTTCATTTAAGGACCCCTCCCTGCCTCTTCCACCACCACCCTGCCCCCACCTGCAGTAATTAAAGTACCATATTTTTCGCTCTATAACACGCACCCGACCATAACACGCACGTAGTTTTTAGAGGAGGAAAATCCGTAGGCATGCCACCCGTAGGCATTCCCTCCATAACACGCACAGACATTTCCCCTTACTTTTTAGGAGGAAAAAAGTGAGTGTTATGGTGCAAAAAATACGGTACTTCCTTCCTATCCACTCTGTGGCCTCTTTATTTTTGGTGTCCTGTTTCCTGGTAGCACCTGCCTAGGAGTACCTGTGAGAAGGTACAGAATGAATTCTGAGATTCAGGGTGAGGCCAAGAATGAATGAGGCACGAAAAGCTCCGGATCCGAGGGCAGACCTCGCCCCTGGAAGGAATGTAAGGGGAGAAGGGCCCGTTTTCGTACTTTATTTGCCTGCAAAGAGGGAACGTTGAGTTCTTGCCAGCATTTTAGAAGCAGCTGGGTCCTGGAAGCAATTCTGGGGGTTGTCTGGCTCAGCCTGGCTGCCTTTTATGCCTTTTATTTGTAACCCCTCCCCCCCAAAACACCCCCATTTCTTTGTGGTTTTCCATATGTGAGAGAAGGGGCGATGTTGTGCTTCAGGCTTGATGCTACAGAGGAGGAACAGAGGAAGATGCAATGCTTTGGCCATGATGTGTAGGATAAATGTCCCCATTTTTGTTTTGTTTTGAGAGAGAAGGATCACCCAAACTACCGGGGCTTCTTCTTTCCTCTGCCTCGACTCCAGCTTTTGCATTTATTAACTTCGCAGCCTCGCGATTGGCACGGCCAGAGCCTTGCGTTGGCACGGCACCTCTCGCCTGCTTTTGTCGAGTTGCGTAAAGGGCTCTCCTGTGTGCAGTGCAGCTGTGGCAAAATTGCCGGTGGCTCCTCGGGAGGACTGCAGAAAGGCTCTTCTGTCTGGGTAGAGAAAAGAGCGTCTCTTCCTTGGGCTGTGGGAGGAGGAAGCAAGCAAACAATCCTCCTGCTGTGGGAGGCCGGAGCGCGGTGCACAAAACGATCACAAAGCTAACGGCGCAGAGACGCGAGCGTTGTTTGGAGCTGGCAAACGTTCCGTGGCTAACAGGCGAGCGAGCTGCAGCCACAGACTCTGCAGTCTGGCCAAGGGAGGAGAGTCGCAGAAATGCTTCGTAACGGATCAGCTAGGCTCATGGCAAATTGGCAGAGGGTTGGTCTATAGGTGTCTTATTAAGCCGTGTGTGCTAATGACCGAAAACTGCACTTGGAGATGAGAGGCTTTTAGGGAAGGTGTCCACCATCGGTTTGGAAAGGTGTGGGCTACCTGTGGCACACCGGACATCGATAGATTTCCACTTCCTAGCCGGTAGGCTGGGATGTTGCTCCTAGCAACATGTGGCTGGCCCCAGGTTCCCCATCCCTCAGATATAAGCCAGGATAGAAAGTGCTTTTCAATGTCACAGGAGGGGTGGCGATGTGGTCCAAAACACTGAGCCTCTTAGACTTGCTGATCAGAAGGTCAGCAGTTTGAATCCCCGCAGCAGAGTGAGCTCCCGTTGCTCTGTCCCAGCTCCTGCCAACCTAGCAGTTCGAAAGCACGCCAGTGCAAGGAGATAAATAGGTGCCGTTCCAGTGGAAAGGTAAACAGCGTTTCCGTGCACTCTGGTTTCCGTCACTGTGTCCCGTTGTGCCAGAAGTGGTTTAGTCATGCTGGCCACATGACCTGGAAAGCTGTCTGTGGACAAACGCCAGCTCTCTCGGCCTGAAAGTGAGATGAGCGCCACAACCCCAGAGTCGCCTTTGACTGGACTTAACTGTCCAGGGGTCCTTTACCTTACTTCTGTAGAGGGATTTTTGCCTCTGACCCCAGACCCTCCAAGGATCCCTATTTTCCAGGGACAGTCCCGGATTTACAGAAGCCGGCTCGATTTCTGATTAGATCCTGGAATGTCCCACTTTTCCTTAAGATGTCCCTATTTTCATTGGAGAAATGTAGGAGGGTATGGATTTAGGCGACCCCTGAGCCAAGGAGATAAGGAACTATACAACCTTTAGAAGACATCTGAAGGCAGGCCTGTATAAAGAAGTTTTTCAATGTTTAGTGAGCTCACCCCGTTGTGGGGATTCGAACCACCAACCTTCTGATCGGCAAGCCCTAGGCTTGTGGTGTAGACCACAGAGCCACCCGCGTCCCAATCATGGAATAGGATGCCCCTATTTTCATCAGAGAAATGTTGTTGGTTTGCCACATCCCAAAGGACTTAGAAATTAGCCGTCCTGTTTCATATGCGCTTTGCCATGCAGCAACGAAGGGGTTATGTTACTGGTGGGATAAATGAAGCCTCTCGTTCCACCCAGGGTTCAGACATTCGTTCTACAGCCCCTGAAATCCTGCTCCAGAATGGGTGGCTTTTCAGTCTTGTCCGGCAAAGCAGCTTTGAATGCTCTTGGAAGGATGTGCCTGCCCTTGGCTGGCTTGGAGCAGAAACCCTCCGAGATTTGAGCACTTGGGTGGTGGTGCTCACATGCCCAAAGTAATTGATTAGGAACATTTCTGAGCACAGAAACTGTCTGCAAGGGAGAATAGGAGTTACAGCTGCTTAATTTATTGCATTGCAAGTGCTGCAAGTCTGGAGGGAGGGTGGCGAGAATGTAAAGGAACGTTAAGTCTTCCTGATAGGAACAGCAGTGGATGTTCTAATTCATGGGTGGGCAAACTAAGGCCCGGGGTCCGGATCCGGCCCAATCCGGCCTTCTAAATCCGGCCCATGGACAGTCTGGGAATCAGCGTGTTTTTACATGAGTAGAATGTGTCCTTTTATTTAAAATGCATCTCTGAGTTATTTGTGGGGCATAGGAATTCGTTCATTCCCCCCCCCAAAAAAATATAGTGCGCCCCCCCAAGGTCTGAGGGACAGTGGACCGGCCCCCTGCTGAAAAAGTTTGCTGACCCCTGTTCTAATTCTCTGCCACTGCCTCTTGTTAGCTTTTTTAAAAAAGCAGGGTTCTCAGTTACATCGCTGCTTTTATCCTGAAACTATTTTAAAGCTAAAAGCGAGGAGGAAACAAGTGTAACCATTCAAATCCTGCCCCTCTTGGTGTTAGTTTTTCAACTCTTCATTCCCAAATGCTTCCTTTGGGAAATGTGCTGTGTTTTTATTTCGAAGCGAGAAGCTCCGGTCTGTTTGGAAATTGCAGCGAATCCATAATCCCCAATAACGCAGGGGTCAATTGCTGCTGCCTAGGGGCTCACTCTTTTGTTAATGCTTAGGTTATTTCCGTGTCGAGTCGTGGCAACTGCAGTCAAGTTTCATGGCTCACCTTAAGCCTCCCTATTCGTTCCTTCTGAAAGTCTTCCAGAGGCAAAGCTGAGGACTGCGAATAGCCTACCTCATGTGAAGCCCTTCTGGGGTTGGGTCTCCACAAAAGCCCTCTCCCAGCCTTTATAAACAACACCACCACAACTCTCACTATTTCCATAAGGAAACTTTGATTGCCTTCTTCCTTCCCTGGCAATATGTAATTTGACATCCTTTATGTGTTTGTTTGTTTGTGTGTGTGTGTGTGTGTGTGTGTGTGTGTGTGTTATCTCACTGCATTACAGATAGGGATGAGGGCGGATTTTGTTTGGTCTGCATTTTTAAGCAAGCCCACCTAATTCGTGTCTCCCAGGCTAAAATCCACTGATCGGAACATAATTATTCTCCCACTTCTGCGCTTCTCTGAATTTTTTTTCTTTATTGGCCCCTTTTTTCAGCCGAGAAGTGTATTTTAGGATAAAATGCATTTAGAAATGTGTGCTTTGAGATAAAAGATGAATTTAAATACGGTGGGGTTTTCTTGGCACCAGTTTTAAAATGTTAACATTAAAGTGGAAACAGGATGGAACAGGCATCCAGGATGAACTCGTGCAAACTAGACCGATCCACCTGTCCGTAATTGCAGGTGGTGGAAGCCATTGGTCACTTCCTAATTAAAATCCCTCCAACTCCTGGTGGTGTGTTATCTCTCCCAAGGCTTGGTCTTCTGGGAAGTGGCTTGCAGAGGTTTTTCCCCCACCCAAATCCCTGACCATATAAAGAACTGCTGAGTAGCTTTGAATAGGTACCCGTGGTTTTTCCTTCCTCGCAAAGGAGGAATGCCATCTGTACTGTTGTTCTGTTCCGTTTGTTCTCTTCCTCCTTTACAGCTATCCTTCTCTAGAGACTCTGGTGAGCAGTAGTCCTTTGGGGGACGCTGGGGGCAGGAATGACAGCGCTGGTGGGACTACAAATGGTTTCAGAGTCTTAAGTGGGTTGTCTTGTACCAGTGCAACCACTCTTGCACCTCTTTCGGTCTAGCTTGGGTCTCATGAGCTGCTGTATGTGAGGCGAAGCTTAAGACCACCCCATAAGCTTAAGACCACCCCATATCATGCACCCTCCACGACTGGGAATCAGTACCCTTTGATACGCACACACTAGGGCTGGGCGATATCTGGTTTTCAGCATCGTAATATATCACCAGCTAAAAAATGCAATGTACTGCTATTTCACAGTGTCTGAAATAAGGATGGAGCTATGTAGACAGGCATCGGCTGGCTTCACAGTTTTCCGCGCATCGTGATTTTTGCCGGTGCCTGCTCTTGTGATTCGCTGCAGAGTTAACAGGGGCTGCAGGAATCGAGAGAAGCACTGGCTTGCTTCACGGTTTCCCCCACATTGTGATTTTTGCATAGCGCGCATACAGTGGTGCCTCGCAAGACGAAATTAATTCGTTCCGCGAGTTTTTTCGTCTAGCGAATTTTTCGTCTTGCGAAGCACGGTGTCGGAAAAGTTTTGGAAAAGCTTCAAAAATCACCAAAAACCTCAAAACAGGCTACCACACCGCGTTCTATGAGTTGCTCCTCGAAGTCAAGTCGCAACTGTATTAACGGTGTTAAGAAAAAGGAAACAAACTTGCAAGACGTTTTCGTCTTGCGAAGCAAGCCCATAGGGAAATTCGTCTTGCGAAGCAGCTCAAAAACCGCAAAACCCTTTCGTCTAGCGAGCTTTTCGTCTTGCGAGGCATTCGTCTTGCGGGGCACCACTGTATTGTATACCATGATTCGCGATATATTGCCAGGTCAAAAATTATGAAACAGATTATCACGATATGAACCAGTTTTGGATGATATATCGCCCAGCCCTAACATGCACCGTGATTCGCGATATATTGCCCGGTCAAAAATTACGAAACTGATATCACAATATGAACTTCAAACTGGTTTTGGACGATATATTGATATATCAACCAGCCCTAACACGTGTGTGTGTGCGCGCATGCACGCACACACACACACACACACACACACACACACTGTCCTAAAGGACTGCATTGAAGCATGTTTCTCAAATGCATCATGCCCCTAGGCCACACTGAGGAAAAGGGAATGTTTGCACCTTGAAATAAAGTCTTGGCCCACCCAAAATTAGACATCCCTCCCTCCAAAATACAGTGGTACATCTGGATGCAAACGGGATCCATTCCAGAGCCCCGTTCGCATCCTGAGTAGAACGCAATCTGCAACTGCGTATGCGCGGGTCGCGATTTGCCGCTTCTGCGCATGACATCATTTTGAGCGTCTGCGCATGTGCGAGCTGCGAAACCTAGAACTAACGTGTTCTGTTACTTCTGGGTCGACGCAGAGCGCAACCCGAAAACGCTCAACCTGAAGCATATTTAACCCGAGGTATGACTGTACTGCTTCCCGCAAGGCTACCCAGCGTCACGTCCAGACCAGTGCTTTGGTTTTGCCCAGGTTCCTGCCAGCTATACTGCTCATCTGCTGACAGTTCCCAGTATGCCTATAAACGAATAAAGGATTGGTGTCTCTCCCCCCTCGAAACAGGCTTTGGGCTGTCCTGAATCATGCAAGCTTCTCCCAGATGCCTTGGCATCATGTCTGGCCCAGAGCTTCACTTGCGATGTCCCCTGCCATTTATTTCTTCTCCTCGCAAGCGCGCTGACAAATGCGTCCCTCCAGGAACGAGGCTCTCCTCCAGCTGCTGCCGCTGCCTCTGGCAGCAGCCTCCTTTTAAGCAGTGAAAGGCAGCGCTTCGGATATCACAGCAGGCAGCCGTTTTAAAATCCAAAAGAGGAAGGGGGTGGAAGGAAGCCATTGTGATGAGCATTCCCACCCACCCCCAAAAAGGAGCCAAAACCAATCCATCAGCTACAAATGGGGTGGAGATTGGGGGTGTGGGCATTTTCCTATACAGTGGTACCTCGTGTTACATACCATCCCCCTTGCGAATGCTGCGGGTTACGAGCTCCGCTAACCCGGAAATAGATGCTCTGGGTTGCGAACTTTGCCCCAGGATGCGAGCGGAAGTCGAATGGTGGCAGCATGGCAGCAGCGGGAGGCGCCATTAGTGAAAGTGCGCCTCATGTTATGAGTGGTTTCAGGTTGAGAACGGACCTCCGGAACGAATAAAGTTCATAACCGGAGGTACCACTGTATGGGTTTCCCCAAACTTGGGTCTCCAACTACAGTTCCCATCATCCCTGACCACTTGTCCTGCTGGCTAGGGAAGATGGGAGTTATAGTCCAAAAACAGCGGGAGACTCAAGTTTGGGAAACCCTGGTCTAGAATGTAAAAGCCTATTTCATTTGTTGTGGTGGTGGTTTTTAACCAAAACCCAATTCCACTATAAGAGACCCACTTAAAGAGTTGAGTTGCTACAGGTTTTCCGTGTGATGAGTGTTTCTGTTCCATAGCTGGATTTCATGGGAACGATGGGAAAGTGTGTTTCAGTTTGTCATTGCTGTTTATTTGCCTCCATCTCACTATGCGATGCTTTATGGCAGGAGTGGGAAACCTGAGGCCCTCCAGACCAGGTCGGACTCCCCCTCCCATCAGCCCCAAACATAATGATCAGGACCCCAGGTTCTCCACCCACCCCACTTACAAAACGATAATACGATACGATAATCTTTATTGTCATTGTCCCATACAGAACAACGAAATTGGAAAAAATCTACATCAGACATTCAAAAACCAACAAGCCTGCTATCCCAACTATCCTAGCCTGGTTGACCCCCTAAAAACTCTGATACCCCATAATTAAATACAATATACTCCCATAGAGACTGCGTTTAAAACCAAAATCGCATTTGGATAGAAACTGTTTCTCAGGCAGCTAGTCCTAGTCCTAGTCTTTATAACCCTGTACCTTCTTCCAGAAGGCAGAAGCTGAAAGAGATCACAAACTTCACGAATGGAGACAATTATTATTATTATTATTATTATTATTATTATTATTATTTATTATTATTTATACCCCGCCCATCTGGCTGGGTCCCCCCAGCCACTCTGGGCATCTTCCAATAAAACACTAAAATACAATAACCTATTAAACATTAAAAGCTTCCCTAAACAGGGCTGCCTTTAGATGTCTTCTAAAAGTTTGGTAGTTATTTTTCTCTTTGACATCTGGTGGGAGGGCGTTCCACAGGGCGGGCGCCACTACCAAGAAGGCCCTCTGCCTGGTTCCCTATAACTTGGCTTCTCACAGTGAGGGAACCGCCAGAAGGCCCTCGGCGCTGGACCTCAGTGTCCAGGCAGAACGACAGATGTTGTAGCTGCATCACTGTTGGGTTTGGTCGGGGATTGTTTTGGGGAGCTAAGGGTTTAAGTGAAAAGCACATTGTGGCTGAGTTTCTGGGGGGATGTGGAGGATGACAGAGGACCAAACTGGGTGAGATCTTGAAGGCAGCCAGGTGGTTTCACTTCACTGTCTCCAGTGTTGTTTTTACCCCAGAATAACAGCCACAGGGGGGAAGTTGGGAAATGTGGGGTGTGGGGAGGGGTTTTTCCATCCTGCCCCTCTAAGCTGCCACTTGTCTCTGGAGGGAAGTTTCCGAAGGAAGCTGAACCCTTGCCCGACTCCATTGCACTCCAGTGTACCTTTCAATATCCTCTTATTTTCTCAACAGCTTAAATTTAGAAGGGGGTGGGGGTGGGAACTGGGCATATTAAATGCTCACACCTTTAGCTTGTCTAGTCTAGCCCTCTGTGTGTGTGTTTTATTGTCATTTGCCCCAAAGCACTGGAAATACAATACAAAGCGGGTAAAAGATGCTTTTTACTGGAACAACATAGCTTGGTATACGATTATGCAAGCTTTCAAGTTATAAAAAAAACACTTCCTCGGGCATGAATTGATAATTCTACTTCCATGGTTCTGGTTTCTTTCCCTAGTTTGTGGAAAGTGCTGGAGGAAAAGTAGAGCTAACCTTTGCATCTTTTCCTGGGCTGCTGCTTCTGCGCTCTGTTTTGCAAAGTCAACGAACACCCGTTCCCTTGGACCCCAGCAGATTTGACCCCAAATTTCTATTTTCTTTTCTTTTTTTAAAAAAAAAAACATTGTGCGAGCTGCCGGCTCGGCGAGAGATAAAGCACTTGCTGGTCTCTGTTTTCCTTGGTGCTCTTCAGAGATTGGTGAAGAACCCGAAGCGAGGGAAACGGCTTATCGATTTTTCTCTTCCTCTTTCCCCAGAGAATGTGCGCGGCTGCTGAAATTGCTTGGATAAGGTCTGTGCTGATGGATGGATGCAAATCTTGGTGTGTGGAGAGCAGAGGGGAAGGGGGAGGCGATGCAGTGATCCTGAAAATGACTTTCACAGGGACAGGACTGGTGAGGGAAGCGTCACAAGGAGATAGCAAATTTCTAAGTGCGCCCCTGTTTTGAATCTGAGGCTGTGAATATGTGAAATACCCTGAGAGTTGTCTAGTCCAACCCCCTGCAATGGAGGAATCTGAGCTAAAGCATCCATGACGGATAGCCACCCAACCTCTGCTTAAAAACTTCCAAGGAAGGAGAGTCCACAACCTTCTGAGGGAATCCGTTCCACTGTCGAACAGCTCTTCCCGCCAGAAAGTTCTTCCTGGTGTTTAGTTGGAATCTCATTTTTCTTGTACCCTGAATCTATTGGTTCGGTTCCGGCCCTCCAGAGCAAGAAAAAACAAGCTTGCTCCATCTCCCATCTTTAGAATTTGAAGATAACATTTGAAAATCATAGAGGAGAACGTCTCTGAGGATGTGCAGAGGGTCAACCTCTAAGTACCAGAGACCAACAGCTAGCTCCCAAGGGCAATTAATAATAATAATAATAATAATAATAATAATAATAATAATAATAATAATAACTTTTATTTATACCTCACCCTCCCCAGCCAAAGCTGGGCTCAGGGCGGCTAACACCAATAAAATCACAGTAATAACATAATAGGGGGGAAAGAGAAAAACACACACATTTAAAATACAGGTTAAAATGCAATTTAATATGCAGCCTCATTTTAAAATAGCCAATAAATCAAGACCATAAGGGGAGGGAAACATAAGGGTCAGACTGAGTCCAAACCAAAGGCCAGGAGGAACAGCTCTGTCTTGCAGGCCCTGCGGAAAGATGTCAAGTCCCGCAGGGCCCTGGTCTCTTGAGACAGAGCATTCCACCAAGACGGGGCCAGTACTGAAAAGGCCCTGGCCCTAGTTGAGACCAATCTAACCACCTTGCGACCTGGGACCTCTGAAATGTTGTCATTTGTGGACCTTAAGGTCCTCCGTGGGGCATACCAGGAGAGGCGGGGCTGTAGGTACAAGGGGCCTAGGCCACATAGGGCTTTAAAGGTCAAAACCAGCACCTTAAACCTGACCCTGTACTCCACTGGGAGTCAGTGCAGTTGGTAAAACACTGGATGAATGCTATCCTTAGGTAACACTTCATAACCTTTCAGAAATCAGTTGCTGGCCCAGTGGGGTAATGAAATAAAATTGTCTAGAGAAAGAAACCTAATGCCTTTTGGAGAGTTGTGGGTTAAATGAAATGAAACCTTACATGAGCTGAGTGAGCCATAAAAGGCTTCCTGGGCTACTTAGCAGTGAGCAAAAAAACACTTGGCACATGGTCTGATGTGCTCAATCATTACTTAGAATCAGAGTTGGAAGGGATCCTGAGGGTCATCTAGTCCAACCCCCTGAAATGTAGTAATCTTTTGCCCAGCGTGGGACTTGAACCCATGACACTGTGATTAAGAGTTTCTACTGAGTGAGCTATGGTGGGTTCAGTTCATTCATTACGATTTTTTCTCCAGCGCTTCCTCAGTGGTGCTCAAGCTTGCGCACTGAGTTTACCTACTCGTGAGGTTGGTTGTGCACAGAAAGTGTGACCGGCGCAAGGTGTGAGCAGTGCCTTGAACCTGGGTCTCTCTGGCCATAGTGCAATCTGTGAGCCAGGATGCCACCCTGGCTGAGCTGAGTCCTGGCGCTCAATACATGACTGACTGAGGATGCTAAAACTTTGCCTTTGCCCAAGAACACACAGCAGTCAGTGGGTGTATACAGTGGTACCTCGGGTTAAGAACTTAATTCGTTCCGGAGGTCCATTCTTTCTTTTTCCCCCAAAAATTTTTTACTCATTTTATAACACAAATAAAAAACACAAACAGAAAAGACAAACAATACAAACAAATTCTTGTCATATCCTTATTTTTCTAAACATTGTTAAGTGGGCTTCCCCAAGTCCCACCTATCTGATTTTCATTTTACTTCATCTTTAGCAGTTTACATATATCATAATTTCTAACCATCTCCCCCCCCCCCCATACACACTTACTTTAACCATAAAAAAACTTCACATTTTACCGGAGGTCCATTGTTAACCTGAAACTGTTCTTAACCTGAGGTACCACTTTAGCTAATGGGGCCTCCCACTGCCACTGTGTAACCTCTGTAACCTGTACAGTGGTACTTCGGGTTACATACGCTTCAGGTTACAGACGGTTCAGGTTACAGACTCCGCTAACCCAGAAATAGTACCTCGGGTTAAGAACTTTGCTTCAGGATGAGAACAGAAATCGCGCGGCTTCAGCAGGAGGCCCCATTAGCTAAAGTGGTACCTCAGGTTAAGAACAGTTTCAGATTAATAACAGACCTCCGGAACGAATTAAGTACGTAACCTGAGGTACCACTGTATTTCAGTTTTGGAATCTTTCATTTGGATCAAGACGGGGCTTGTTTAGTTTGAGCCGGGCTTCCCTTCGCCCGGGACTCTGGAGTGTCTGTGCGTTGGATGTGACACTTTGGTGTTGGAATATGGGAAGTAGCAAGAAGACTGTGCTTTTCCCTTACCAAACATCTCATGTGGGATTGGGTGATGGCAGGTCAAAATCCTGTTTCCCAGGCAGGCTTGAACCCCAGCACCTTTCTCAAGGAAACTGAGCGCTGCCAACAGCATCTTTATTTAGAAAGGCATCTTGCATCCTTTTTTGAAAAACTCCAAACATGGAGAAAAGACTTTGGCTGTGGAATTCTCCTGTGCAGCCGGGACCTCCCACCATCCATCCAGCGAGCATTTAGCTCAGAGAGGAGTGTGGGAACCTGCGGCTCCTGATAAAGATCCCCCGCTTTGCGGAAGGGGGGACATAAAGAATGTGGAGGAATGTTGATGAGATTAAGGAGACAAATAGGCAGCTGGAGAGTTGGGAAGGGTGGTGGGGGGCAGGAGAGAAGGAGGGTACCCCTGTGTGTTGTTGCTCACTCCTCACTGCACAGCTAAGGACTAGAGAGTGGGGTGTCAGGAGTACCACATCACTTCAAAACAGGGGTGGTGTTAACAGAGAATCATATACCCAATTGCTTTTTTTCTGAGGGAAAAGTTGCTTTTCTCTTTCGCCATTCTCCAGTGTGCGGCAGGGGAACTCACCACGAAGTCTGATTGTTTATTGCGGGCCCAGTCATAGTGCCACACATGGGCAGCGGTTAAATGTAAAAAGGTAAAGGGACCCCTGACCATTAGGTCCAGTCGTGGCCGACTCTGGGGTTGCGGTGCTCATCTCGCTTTACTGGCTGAGGGAGCCGGTGTACAGCTTCCGAGTCATGTGGCCAGCATGACTAAGCCGCTTCTGGCGAACCAGAGCAGTGAACGGAAACGCCATTTACGTTCCCGCCGGAGCGGTACCTCTTTATCTACTTGCACTTTGACGTGCTTTTGAATTGCTAGGCTGGCAGGAGCAGGGACTGGGCAACGGGAGCTCACCCCGTTGCGGGGATTCGAACCGCCGACCTTCTGATCGGCAAGCCCTAGGCTCTGTGGTTTAAATGTAAGATGTGATTAATAAACTCGAGCAGACGATGATCTGGATGAGAGAGGGCCACAATTTTATTGATTACAGATCTAGGTGGATTTTGGGGCTCCCCTGGACAAGGTTCCCCGAGTTCCTGCTAAAGAACTAACAACCTACTTATACCTCTTCTGTTCTCAAAATAGGCATTGCAAGACAAGATGAACCTTGGGGCGCCTTCCAGTTCTGTGATGATCACGAATTCACAGCCTCAGATTCAAAACAGGGGTGGTTAAATTTGAACTCTGCACTTTGGGGCTTAGAAATGGCACCAGACTACATTTGCTGTCTTATTATGATGGAGAAGAGGCGCTGGATGGTATGTTGCTAACACACAAGGGGCTGCAAAGAAACGTACAGGTGGCTGCATCCTGCTTGGAGAGTGGGCCATATTTCGAATTCTGGACCTTCCATTCCTACCATTTGCAGACTAATGGAAGGAACCAGGTGTTTGCATACGTGTCCCAAGGATTCCTTGAGTTCTTGTTTACTTGCATTGCTTTTTCATTTCTCCTCCCTCCTCCGATGAGTGGAAACTGGGGTGTCAAATCTGCTGTGGCTTTGCACGGTCGGCGACGTTCCTTGCTGGTTGGCACAAGAAGGAAACACTCTTTCGTGAAGCATATCAAGGCGCGCGATAAAAACATGACAAGGGCGGGAAGACAGTGCACCCTTTTGCAGAAGGGTTTTTTTCCCCTTCTCGGGGCCCGTTTCTGCGAGGATGCTGGTGCCATGGCGGAGGGCAAACTGGGCTCCAGAATGTCGTTGGCGGTTGCAGAGTTTGTCCGTGTCTCAGCGGGGGCTGCTCTTGGTTGCCTGCTCAGAAGATAAATGGAAGTCTTCGCTCCCCACCCCCAGCAATTTGAAATTTGCATGTGGCGTTGCCATGACATCACATGGGGAATCCTGAAATGGCTGCTGGAGCACAACCAAGTGAATGGGAGCTTGTCTGAAAGCGATCGACTCTGCCACAATGCTTCCTCTGTGGAGCGTACCGGGGCTCTTAAGTACATCCCCAGTTCCCATTCTGTTTGGCAGGGTGGGGGAGAGTCTGGAAGGATTCTCAACTCTTCCCCCCCCCCCAGTCGGGTCTCGAACAATTGTATGACAGGCAGAAACCCAACCGGTGAAGTTTCACCCCACCTCACCCCACTGTGCTTCCATGCTAGGGAAATCTTGCCTTCCGATTTCTGCCCTGTTAAGCAGTTGTCGGAGGCTCCTGATCTGTTTCTGCACTTATTTATTGTTTAACAGTCATCTTTAGGAAGACCTTGCTGCTTAAATGCTCCCTAATCCTTCTGGTTCTTCGTTCCCCTTTTGAGGGTACCTGGCAATGTAGGAGCTAAGTAGCTGCTCAGTCAAGCCTGATTCTGCAAAAGGTTTCTCTCTCCTGCCCTTTGCTGACAGCCAGATCTCAAGGATCTCGCTTTATAAGGGAACATTCAGCACCCTAGGAATGCAGTGCCTTGCATTTTTTTGAGTATGTTAAATTACTAGCCCTTATGGCTGCAGGGACGCGGGTGGCGCTGTGGGTTAAACCACAGAACCTAGGACTTGCTGATCAGAGGTTGGCGGTTCGAATCCCCGTGACGGGGTGAGCTCTCGTTGCTCGGTCCCTGCTCCTGCCAACCTAGCAGTTCGAAAGCACGTCAAAGTGCAAGTAGATAAATAGGTACCACTCCAGCGGGAAGGTAAACGGGGTTTCCGTGCGCTGTTCTGGTTCGCCAGAAGCGGCTTAGTCATGCTGGCCACATGACCCGGAAGCTGTACTCCGGCTCCCTCGGCCAGTAAAGTGAGATGAGCGCCGCAACCCCAGAGTCGGCCACGACTGGACCTAATGGTCAGGGGTCCCTTTACCTTTACCTTTATGGCTGCAGGGTAGGGGGCATCTGGGCAAAGTCTTGTGAAAATGCTTCAAGATGGGAGGGAAGCAATGGAAATGACTCCAACTGGTCTTTGGAGCAGGGGCAGAAGAAGAATAAATTATGGAAGAAATGTACTTGATTTGATTAACTTACTCAGGTTGTAGAATAGTGTTGTCATGGTGCAGAATTTAGATACTTTTTCACTTGTTATTACTAGGTAGAGGTAAAGGTACCCCTGATCGTTAGGTTCAGTCTCGGACGACTCTGGGGTTGCGCTCTCATCTCGCTCTATAGGCCAAGCGTACCGGCGTTTGTCTGCAGACAGCTTCTGGGTCATGTGGCCAGAATGACTAAGCCGCTTCTGGTGAACCAGAGCAGCACACAGAAACGCCGTTTACCTTCCCGCCAGAGCGATACCTATTTATCTACTTGCGCTTTGACATGCTTTCAAACTGCTAGGTTGGCAGGAGCAGGGACCAAGCAACGGGAGCTCACCCCATCACGGGGATTCGAACCTCCGACCTTCTGATCGGCAAGCCCTAATCCACAGCGACACCCGCATTAGTTACTAGGGTGCTTATTGCCTGATCAAGTGAAATTTCCATGGCAAGGTGAAAAACTCTGTACCTTAAGCGTTTGAGAGAATCTCCCTGCTAGGGTGTCTCTGAAGAGGCAGCCTATCCTTAATGTGGATTTGAGGTACCCCACATTTTATGTTGTGGCGCACAGCCCTCGTTCCTTATGGGGACAGTATAACTGATAGTGACTTTTGCACACACACAAAAGAAAGAAAAGAAAAAGGATAAAATGAGGTATTGGGCCAGGCATGAAAAGGTGTGTTGCAAGGAGCAGGTGTGCCATTTTGGGTCGCCCAGAGCGCATTTGACCAGCACCAAGAGAAATCATTGGAAACCAATTCCAGCCTTGTGGAAGGAATTGGGAAGGAATCGTTGGGAGTTGATGAGCTGTTCATTTCGTGGCTTTATTCTCCCAGGAGTAGGTGTTTCTGTCGGTCTGATTTTATACTTCCCATGCATGGCAGGGCTCTTGGTGAAAACAGAGGGGAGCAAGTTGGTCCAGTGGGGGAAAACTATCTGAATACATTCATGGAGGACTTTGCTTCTGCTGAAATGATGAGCAATTCCAGATCATTAGGGAACTGTTGCTGCGGGTTTTGTGGCTGCTCTGTAATGAAGCAGCTCCAAAAGCTCTTGTGAAGACAGCATCTGTCGGGAGAGAGGGATGCCTTAGCACAAGTGCAGATTGCCTCCTTTGCATGCAAAAGTTCCCAGGTTCAGTCCCCCAGCGTCTCTGGGTAGCGCTGGGAGAGAGTCCCTAACTTAAAGCACAGGAGAGCTGTAGAAGACATTACTGAGCTTGACAGAACCAGTGGTCCATTCTGTTTTCTTTCTGGGTGGGTGAATGGAGCTCTGTGTGTTGAGAAGCAAAAGGAGAAAATCCCCAAATCATAGACACTTGGGATTTGCGTGAAATTCCATTTTTGTGCATGCTCCCTTCCATGACATTTGCATGCGCAGCCTGATGCGGTTTTTGCACATTCCTCGCTTCTTGGTGTTCCCATGCACAAAGAAGAGCCTTGGAGGCAACCTTGTGAGCTACGAAGAGTCACCTGGCACTGACTTTGTTGCAAGCTCCCAAGCAGACTCCCGTGGAGCGATCGTGCCATTTACTTATTGGGTCTCCTTTCTCTAAGCTTTTGGCTTGGTTGCATGCTGATTCATAGCCCGCTGGCAGGCGTGCAGCTTTTGCAGACAAACCCAAATCCGAAACATGCGCTGCCTGGCTGCAGGAGTCATGGTTTGCTCCATTTGGTTCTACGGGATGCAACTGTGTTGTGGCTTCACTTGCAGCCACAGTTAAAAGCTGGTTTGAATGCTGCTGCTGTTAGTGACTGAGCGGAAACCTTGCTGGCTGGATCAGGTTAGTCTGGGTAAGCGATGCCTGCAAACAAGGGGTGTGCGGAAATCTCACTCTGTGTTCCTGATCATTCCCAACTTGCTTGCCTTTCTGCCCCAGATTTGCTCCACCCCTGAGAACTATGGTCGGACTAGGATGGTGGAACACATGATGAATGTCTGTCTCTGTACCAGCCTCTTCCATCGTCATGTTCTGGGGTCTGGTCATGGCTGTTTGCGCATCTGTGGTCATTTTTTTGTTTTCGAAACGCTGCACTTAGAAAACATGCACAATTGCTTCCTCTCCCCTTTCCACCCGAAGCTGGATCACAGGGGGTATGCAGGAGGGCTGAAATTAGTGCCCTAACCGCATGTTGCTTATTAGTATACAGACTGAGTAATCCAGGCTAAAAGAGAGTGATTTGGAAGAGAGATGCTTTCATTCTGCAGTGCTCTCGCGCTCTCTCTCTGGCAAGGTTTTAGCTGCTGCTCCTTAGTGAACTGGCCAGACCTTCACAGCTATTTTAATTGGCTTTTGGAGGTGTTCGCACTCCAGGCCACTTCTGGTAAATCCAGGCTGACTGCATTTCTTAGATAATGGGGTGGTGGATTTCTCTGGCTTGAGCCTGGGGACCAGTCTAGATTCTATTGACCCAAAGCCTGCTGGTTCTGCTTTTTCTTTGGCAGGCCCTGGCATGGGGACAATTGATCGGCTATTTCTCATGCAGTTTTGTTTTTTTGGGAGTGGGGGATAAGCTTGGTACATCCCTTTCTGCTTGGTGGTGGGGTGTTCAAGGCTGGGGAAGGGGATGTGGACCGAAAAAGTGTTTGGGTGTTGTTGTTTAGTCGTTTAGTTGTGTCCAACTCTTCGTGACCCCATGGACCAGAGCACGCCAGGCACTCCTGTCTTCCACTGCCTCCCGCAGTTTGGTCAGACTCATGTTTGTAGCTTCAAGAACACTGTCCAACCATCTCGTCCTCTGCCATCCCCTTCTCCTTGTGCCCTCCATCTTCCCCAACATCAGGGTCTCTTCCAGGGAGTCTTCTATTCTCATGAGGTGGCCAAAGTCTTGGAGCCTCAGCTTCAGGATCTGTCCTTCCAGTGAGCACTCAGGGCTGATTTCCTGATAGGTTTGTTCTTCTTGCAGTCCATGGGACTCTCCAGAGTCTCCTCCAGCACCATAATTCAAAAGCATCAATTCTTCGGTGATCAGCCTTCTTTATGGTCCAGCTCTCACTTCCGTACATCACTACTGGGAAAAGAAACTGCACAATGGTTCTTCAGTTGCACTGGATTTTTATAGGGACATCGGGTTCAGTACATTGCTTTCCCTCAGCCAGATACGAAGTAGGCTCTCTCCCTACCCCACCCCAATCTGGAATGGAGGGTAGTGTTCAAAATTAGCCAGGCGCATTTTGCACCTGGCTATCAGCCACTCGCGACCAAGTGAAGATGCCTGGGCCCCAGGATAGTGCCTGACATCTCCACCATCTGGGGATCATTGGATCGGGACTATTTTGACACACTTAATACCCCACCCAGTAGAATTCTATCGGTTATATTTTATCTGCACAATCAGAATGGATTTCTGGAACCAAAATGCTTTTTCTGAGCAGGAGCAGTCAGCAGTCAGCAGGAGCAGAAAAAGAGGTCAGAATAGACCAATATACCGTATTTTTTGCTCTATAAGACTCACTTTTTCCCTCCTAAAAAGGAAGGGAAAATGTGTGTGTGTCTTATGGAGCGAATGCAGGCTGCGCAGCTATCCCAGAAGCCAGAAGAGCAAGAGGGATCGCTGCTTTCACTGCACAGCGATCCCTCTTGCTGTTCTGGCTTCTGAGATTCAGAATATTTTTTTTCTTGTTTTCCTCCTCCAAAAACTTGGTGCGTCTTATGGTCTGGTGCGTCTTATAGAGCGAAAAATACGGGTATATGTGGATTGTCCCTGGATCAAGTGACTTTTCTTCCTTAAGTTCTCAAACTTCCTAACCCAGCTCAAGGTTGTCATTTGAAGCAATCACAGTCAGTCCATCATTTGAAAAATAAGGCTTTAGAGCTGTCTTGCCCCCAGACGGCAACTGGACATTCCGTTTTGGCGACTGTAACCTTGGTTTAAGGAGCCATTTGGCCCCTAGCTTACATATTTGAGTTTCTAACAGGGGGGAAAGAACTTCAGAGGCGGAGACTGAGCACAGTTTTGAAGCAGGCGTGAGTCCCTCTTTCCCCTCTAGGACATTAAGTGACGCCTGGGCTCAGATCCCAAGCCACTTGCGTAGCTCATGCACAGCGGCTGTGAGCGAGTTGTTCTGCGGCAGCCTGGCGATCTCGCAGTGGAGGCAGAATGTGAAAACCGTTCAGTAGCTAAAATGTGTGGTTGAAATGAGAGCGATTGCTGGTAATGGACATAAAGGCCGGAGGAAAAGAATCCAATTCTTCAGAGGCAGCAACGTATATTCAGTGCCCAGGTGTTTGAGGTTTGATCAGCACGGTGTCACCTTGGTTTTGACAGATTATACGGCTTTCATCTGGAGGAACCGATTCCTCACATTATTAGAGCAGCTTTGAAAATGCACCTTTGGGCTCCATCCAAGCCCTCTTATTCCTCCTGGACTATTTTGTGATGGATAGAGTTGCGCCAGTGCAAGGAGGCAGGCTGCTTGGCTTTTCTCTAATTTGCAACAGCTTCTCTTTACCCGCAAAGTACTTTGGGGGGGGGGGGAGAAAATAAATATTTTTATACCACGAAATGCTTTTAAAGATATCAAGACCATGAGCAGCGTAAAAACTGCCAGTAAATTTACACCAGTTAAAAAAACCAAAAAAGGTTGTTTAGTCGTGTCCGACTCTTCGTGACCCCATGGACCAGAGCACGCCAGGCACTCCTGTCTTCCACTGCCTCCCGCAGTTTGGTCAAACTCATGTTAGAAGCTTTGAGAACACTGTCCAACCATCTCATCCTCTGTCATCCCCTTCTTGTGCCCTCCATCTTTCCCAACATCAGGGTCTTTTCCAGGGAGTCTTCTCTTCTCATGAGGTGGCCAGAGTCTTGGAGCCTCAGCTTCAGGATCTGTCCTTCCAGTGAGCACTTAGGGCTGATTTCCTTAAGAATGGATAGGTTTGATCTTCTTGCAGTCCATGGGACTCTCAAGAGTCTCCTCCAGCACCATAATTAGAAAGCATCAATTCTTCGGCAATCAGCCTTCTTAATGGTCCAGCTCTCACTTCCATACATCACTACGGGGAAAACCATAGCTTTAACTATATGGACCTTTGTCGGCAAGGGGATATCTCTGCTTTTTAAGAATAACAACACATAGAATAACAAATCAACGAATCAAATAAACTTTACTGGAGTAAGGCTAGCTGAACAAACCTGTTTTAAGCAGGTGCTTAAATTCCAGTGGTGTTGACGCCTGCCTGATAATTTACCGGGAGAACATTCCAAAGGGCAGGTGCCACAACACTAAAAGCCCTGGGGAGTTTTCTTTGTAGATGCAAGGAGCTTGTGACACCGCTAGCAGTGCCTGTTTCAAGGTATGCAGCGACCAGGCAGGGGTATGTAAGGTTAGGTGATCCTGAAGATAATCAGATCCCAAGTTGCTCAGGGCTTTGTCTGCTGAAAGCAGGATCTTAAACTTGTTCTGGTAGCATATTAGCAGCCCGTGTGGTTCTTTCAGCAATGGTGTTGCATGTTATAAAGGAAACCCAACCCCAAGCCTGCCGTCAGCAACCTTGCTGCAGCATTCCTTATCAGTTGCAGCTTCTGGACCAGCCTTAAGGGAAAGCACTATGTTTTCCTTGCACCAGGAAAACGAAAGACGTCTGATATACGTAGGGAGAAAATACGAAGATGCTGCTCCTTTCCAGAGGGATTGGGGCCTTTGGGAGGCCTTTTGGAACCAGAGAACCACAGCCTTTTCACAGCTCTGTTGTTTGAGCTTCCATGCCAACATTTCCCCCAGCTTTCCAGTTCAACTTTCACCAGAAGAAGCTGCAGTTCCACCCTGCAGTGTTAGAAATTAGCCAGGCGCCAGGCGCGTTTTGCCACCGGTGCAGTTCCAATTGCGACGGTGCGGAGATCTCTGCATGCCAGACTGGGGGAAGCAAAATGTCACTGAACAGAAGGATCTAAAATGTTTCCCTTGAAGTTTGAATTTTGGGTTTTTTTCCTGGATTGTTTTATTTGATGTTTTAATGTATTGTAGACCTTAAGATTTGTTCCTTGGAATATAAAACGGTATATTAATGAAATGAATCACCCTCATCACAAAAAAGTGCCAAGATATTCCATGGGGGTGGGGGGGATTCCCTGGTCCTGGATGGGGTAACTGTGCCCCTGAAGGACCAGGTGCGCAGCCTGGGAGTCATTCTGGACTCACAGCTGTCCATGGAGGCGCAGGTCAATTCTGTGTCCAGGGCAGCTGTCTACCAGCTCCACCTGGTACACAGACGGAGACCCTACCTGCCTGCGGACTGTCTCACCAGAGTGGTGCATGCTCTGGTTATCTCCCGCTTGGACTGCTGCAATGCACTCTACGTGGGGCTACCTTTGAAGGTGACCCGGAAACTGCAATTAATCCAGAATGTGGCAGCTAGACTGGTGACTGGGACTGGCCGGCGGGACCACATAACACCGGTCCTGAGAGATCTGCATTGGCTCCCAGTACGTTTCCGAGCACAATTCAAAGTGTTGGTGCTGACCTTTAAAGCCCTAAATGGCCTCGGTCCAGTATACCTGAAGGAGCGTCTCCACCCACATCGTTCAGCCCGGACACTGAGGTCCAGCACCGAGGGCCTTCTGGCGGTTCCCTCATTGCGAGAAGTGAGCTTACAGGGAACCAGACAGAGGGCCTTCTCGGTAGTGGCGCCCACCCTGTGGAACACCCTCCCTTCAGGTGTGAAGGAAATAGGCAGCTATCCTATCTTTAAAAGGCATCTGAAGGCAGCCCTGTTCAGGGAAGTTTTTAATATTTAATGCTGTATTGTTTTTAACACTCGACTGGGAGCCTCCCAGGGTGGCTGGGGAAACTCAGCCAGATGGGCAGGGTATAAATAAATAAATAATAATAATAATAATGACCTAGGCCATTTGATTAGATTATATATCTGAGTTTCTGACACTGCTTGTGGGTCTGATACCACTTGTTGGTCTCCTTAAGACGCGGGAGACATATGGTGCTGTGTGAAGAATATTGCTTGTTGTTAATGCTCCTGTCATTGTGTGCTGTGCTTCAGAGGTGACTCATTGCAAAAGCAATTAGGGCTCCCTCTTTGTGTCAGACTGGCACTGTGCGTCTAGATCTCTTCTCTGCAGCGTTGCCCTCCTTGCTTGGAAGACGCAGCAGAATCTTTCCCTTGCTCCTGTTTCCCCATCCCCAGCCTTGGGCTCTTCCTGGACTTGGATTTGAACATTAGGTAAAGGGTAAAGGGACCCCTGACCATTAGATCCAGTCGCGGCCGACTCTGGGGTTGCGGCGCTCATCTCGCTTTACTGGCCGAGGGAGCCGGCGTACAGCTTCCGGGTCATGTGGCCAGCATGACTAAGCCGCTTCTGGCAAACCAGAGCTGCACACAGAAATGCCGTTTACCTTCCCGCCAGAGCGGTACCTATTTATCTACTTGCACTTTGACATGCTTTCGAACTGCTAGGTTGGCAGGAGCAGGGACCGAACAACAGGAGCTCACCCCGTTGTGGGGATTCGAACCGCTGACCTTCTGATCGGCAAGCCCTAGGCTCTGTGGTTTAACCCACAGCCCGTCTTTTAAAAGCAGCTACAGCGAACGGGGCTGTGCCTTTGGGAGCTCGTGTGCAGAGCACCCAGCCCTCCTGATAGTGGCACGTTGTGCTCTGGGTAGATATGTCCGGGGCTAGTCCTATCATGCAACAGGGGAATTGGGAGAGATGAGCTCTTGCGTCCCACCCACCTTTGCAATGCTTGGATTTTGTCGATTTGGCTCAGTGTGCGCAGTGGCCCCGCAGTCAAACTCTCTCTCTGATATTCTGGCACTTTGGCTGCCATGATCAGGTCTTGGCACAGTGTAGAGCTACAAGATGCCAAGAGCAAAAGTGGGCATCACTGCTTCTGAACCGGAGCAACGAATGTCACTATCTCCCAGAGCAGATGATGGATTGGCTCCGTTCTGGGTGCAGAGTGCAGCTGTTCGTTGCAGTCCTTGGCCTGGCAAGAGAGCAGCAACTTGGATGAGTTGGGACTTTGCAGGCAGCTCTGCCTGGCTTTTGTAACTGGCTCCCTGGGTGAGGGTGGAACTAGACATTACGAGATACACTCGCAGCTGCTCCCGAAAACAGCCGCTGCCTTTTGACTTCACCCCTTTCCCTGCCTGTGGCATGAAGTACAGCTGTGTCCCATTCCTTAGTGCCACACCATTCCACATTAACCCCACCTCACCCCTCTCAGTGGTCGCCGGCTGAGATGGGGATCTGCAAAAACCTAGGTGGTCATGGATGTTGTACTAGACGTTAGAGCAGGGAGAGTCAACCTGGTCCCTACTGCCTGCTAGTGGATTCCAGGTGGGCGGTAGGGGGTTCTACGCCACATGTTACTGCAGCACTGGTGGGTGGTAAGGAGATTTTACCATCAAGAAAAATGCATTAGTGGGGGTAGGTATAAAAAGGTTCACTACCCCTGTGTTAGAGAATGTCAGGAGCGAGCCAGCAATAAATCACACGGAGTAAGTGGCATTAACTCTTTATTAGCAGATACAAGGCCAGCTCAGGAGTGCCAGGCCTAAGGAGCACAACAACTTTTCTTGGTAGGTCTTTCCCCCATGAGGCAGTTGTGGAGACGAAAGGTCCCTGCCTTCCCATGGCTGCCTAAGACTCCTGCTCCCCTGGGTCCTTCCCAAGCAATATGAGACTCCGCCAGCACACCTGTCTCTGCTCCTCTCACTTCACACCTCTCCTGGTCCTGGGAGACCAGGGCGAAGGGGAGCTTGTCACAGCAGAAGGGGGAGACACCCTGGCTTTTTCACCAGCCTGACTCAGCTCTGCCTCTTGGCCTCCCTCCTCTTCTGCTTCAGCTTCTGCCTCTGATTTTGGACTGCTCTCTGCCACAACCTCTTCCTGCTCACTAAACCCTGTTACCTCTTCAGCTTCCCAGGCTCTGAGCCTTCTTCCCGGGAGAGCCTCCCACCATTCACTTGCATCCAGCCGGTCCACGACATTGAAGGGTAGATGAGAGCTAGGCACGTAGCTGCTGGTTTCTTGGCGGCAGCCACACGCATCTCATGACACCTTGCTTCACCCTGCACACTTTGTTCTGGTGTGGGAAGAAGGGCTCGGTGCTCCAGCAATGGAAATAGTAATAGAGTGCATCTCAGCGCTTGGAGCATGCCTCTCCCTCGCCACCGAGTCAGCACAGTCGTTCGCGATTTAATTGAGATTGCAGGTCAGAGATCACATCCAGCTAGCTTCCTCCCCAGCCTCTTCCTTTGGAAATGAAGGACTGGTCATTTCTTGCTGGTAGTAGTAGCTGCTATCCAGGAGGGGCAGTTCCTCAGCTGTGAAGTAGCAAGTGCTCCCGTCCCTAAGGACTAATCCGGAAGAGGACATTTCTTGCTAACATAAGGGGAGGTTCAGAACGGGTCCAGTCTGGGCGGTGAGGTATCGCCCATTGGTTTGTCCTTTCCTCCTTTTGTCCATTATAAGCAAGCACCTGTTCCTTCTTCCCTCCCAAGAAGCTGAACTCTGCTCACGCAGCTGAACCAAAACCTACGAAAATGTCGTGCCACAAACTCATTGCTGTCTAGTGAGGCATTGGCAATTTGTGCCTCAAATCAAAACGTTTGCTCTCATTTGCGTTTTGGAGGGGCATGTGCTGTTGTGGATTTGGCTTCGGCAGAATATATAATTGCAGCATTATTTATGGCCTGGGACTCGGGTGGCGCTGTGGTCTAAACCACAGAGCCTAGGGCAGGGGTAGGCAGCCTAAGGCCCGGGGACTGGATGCGGCCCAATCGACATCTCAATCCGGCCCGCGGACGGTCCAGGAATCAGTGTGTTTTTACATGAGTAGAATGTGTCCTTTTATTTAAAATGCATCACTGGGTTATTTGTGGGGCATAGGAATTCGTTCATTCCCCCCCCCCCAAAAAAAAATAGTCTGGCCCACCACATGGTCTGAGGGACGGTGGAGCAGCCCATGGCTGAAAAAGGTTGCTGACCCCGGCCTAGGGCTTGCTGATCAGAAGGTCAGCGGTTCGAATCCCCGCAACGGGGTGACCTCCCGTTGCTCGGTACTAGCAGTTTGAAAGCACGCCAGTGCAAGTAGATAAATAGGTACTGCTCTAGCGGGAAGGTAAATGGCGTTTCCGTGCGCTGCTCTGGTTCGCCAGAAGTGGCTTAGTCATGCTGGCCATATGACCTGGAAAGCTCGGCCAGTAAAGCGAGATGAGCGCCGCAACCCCATGGTCGTCTGTAACTGGACTTAACAGTCAGGGGTCCCTTTACCTTTAATTTATGGCCTCTGCAGCGCTGGTATCCTGGCACCACTTCTACAAGGTGGGGAAATTTGCTTCAGGCTACCTATTCTAAACAGAAGGGATGTTAGTTCCCTGGCTTCCAGTCCACGGTCCCAAGGAATTTCCTGCATGGCACTTTGAAAGTACAAAGCATCTGTTTATAATTGCCACCACAGCCAATGTTTGATATAGAACCTAGGTGCCAAATGGCTCCTTAAACCCAGGTTACAAAATGGAATGTCTAGTTGCCGTTTGGGGCAAGTCTTATTTTTCAAATGATGGGCTGACTGTGGTTGATTCTCAGTTAAACAACTGGCTGGTTCAAATGATAACCTTGAGCTGGGTTAGGAACTTTGAGAACTTAAGGAGGAAAAGTGACTTGGTCCAGGGACAGTCCACACACACATATATATAGGCCTATTCTGACCTATTACGCGGGTGGCGCTGTGGGTAAAACCTCAGTGCCTAGGACTTGCCGATCGCATGGTCGGCGGTTTGAATCCCCGCGGTGGGGTGAGTTCCCGTCTTTCGGTCCCAGCTCCTGCCCACCTAGCAGTTCGAAAGCACCCCTAAAGTGCAAGTAGATAAATAGGTACCGCTTTATAGCGGGAAGGTAAACGGCATTTCCGTGTGCTGCGCTGGTGCTGGCTCGCCAGAGCAGCTTCGTCACGCTGGCCACGTGACCCGGAAGTGTCTCCGGACAGCGCTGGCCCCCGGCCTCTTAAGTGAGATGGGCGCACAACCCTAGAGTCGGACACGACTGTCCCGTACGGGCAGGGGTACCTTATTCCGACCTCTTTTTCTTAATAGTGACCTGGACCATTCATAACATAGGAATATTCTTCAGAACTGTGTGCAGGGCAGTGGGGTGGGTTAAGTGAAGACGAACTACTACAGTTTACTAGAATGTTATTGACTGCTCCTGCTCAGGCTGCACAGAAAAAGCATTTTGGTTCCAGAAATCCATTCTGATTGAGCAGATAAAATATAACTGATAGAATTCTACAGGGTGGGGTATTCGTGTGTGAAAACAGTCCTGATCCAATGATCCCCAGATGTCAGGCACCATCCTGGAGCCAGGCATCTTGACTTGGTTGTTAGTAGCCAATAGCCAGGTGTCAAATGTGCCTGGCACCTGGCTAATTTTGAACACTGCTCACAGCCCTCTAAGACCAGTTGTTGTTTCCATTTTACAGAGGGGAACTGGGAAGCTATAATTTGCCCGTGGACACCCAATGGGAAACGATGACGGAATTGGGACTTGGAAATAGATATTCAGGAAAGCCAACTGTCTATCAGGACTTTGGAGACTCTTAGACAGGGAGAGGGGTAGTTTTGTTGCGTGGCGATCCTTACCTTATTACCCTTGGTCTGCTTTGGTGGTCAAACGCCAGTTGCTAGACCCTCAATCTTTTCCTAAGTTCTGGGGTCAACAATGCTTTTTTATTCCCGTCTCCTGGATTCCTCCTCTGCTGGGCTATGAAACTTGAAGCAATTCTAGCTGGAGGGAAAGCAACCTTTGGAAAACACTTTGGCAAGTAAAGGGGTTAAGCCTTCTGCACGCACGTTACTTCTGCAAATGTGGTTTTTTTAGAAACTGTGTGTAGTTCTGTCTTTTTTATATATAAAAAGGTGTTGCCTCGTTTTGCAGGTTGAGAACCTTCTGGGCCTCCAAACTGGATAGAATGTTTTTTGTATCTTGTATTTTTCATGTTGGGAATCTCCCTGAAATCTACGAATGAAAGGTGGTATACAAATTAATTAAATAAATCTAAATTAGGAGGGCATTCAGGTGTGCACGCACCCCAGGAAAGTTGAAATGAACCGGGAGGGTGAATGCTTGACGAAACCGCATACAAAAGGACTTAAATGCACATGTTTATCAAATCTGATAGACACTCTTTTAAACGGTTTCTTAATTATGAGTTGAGGAGCTTTAAAACAACCGTAATATAAAACCAGGGTGTGTGGAGTTGTGCATGGGTCACTTACCATCTACTGGAAACCATTTATCATTCAGTCCTGCAAATTTGAAATTTCCAGATTTTAATTTCAAAAAACGTGTCGGCTCTGTGTGGAATTCTGTTTCAGCTGTTAAGGGATAAGCCCTCTAAGTTAAAAGGCCGAATGCTATGTATAATCTCAATACGAACAAGCTAATGTTATGTGTGTTTCTTACACAGGCTCAACATACTATGACAATGTGCGCCCCCTTGCCTATCCTGACTCGGATGCTGTTCTCATCTGCTTTGACATTAGCCGCCCAGAGACCTTGGACAGCGTCCTTAAAAAGGTGAGCCAGCTAGAATATAATGGGGAGTTTGGGATGGGGCAGGGGATGATCTTTCAGTTTGGGGAGAGCTGACATCTTGAAAAATACAGTGGTGCCCCGCAAGATGAATGTCTCGCAAGATGGAAAACCCGCTAGACGAAAGGGTTTTCCGTTTTGGAGGTGCTTCGCAAAACGAATTTCCTATGGGCTTGCTTCGCAAGACGAAAATGTCTTGCGAGTTCCTGCGGGTTTTTTTCCCTCCCCCCCCCTTTCCCAAGCCGCTAAGCCGCTTATCAGCTGATCCGCTAAGCCGCTTAACAGCTGATCGCTAAGCCGCTTATCAGCTGATCCGTTAAGCCACTAAGCCGCTTATCAGCTGATCCGCTAAGCCGCTAATAGCGCTAATCCGCTAAACCGCTAATGGGCTTGCTTCGCAAGACGAAAAAACCGCAAGACGAAGAGACTCGCGGAACGGATTCTTTTCGTCTTGCGAGGCACCACTGTACAGCGGAACTCCAGAATCACAGTTGTGCTACAGGCTCAAAGCTGAATTTGAAGACACTCGAACTCAGGATGCAAGGGAGAAACATGCTAAGAGGAAGGCATGCTTGGCAAATCCACACCGTGATCAATTCCCGCCCGGAAACCAATGTCCCCACTGTGGAAGGACGTGTGGATCCAGAATTGGTCTCCACAGTCACTTACAGACTTGTTGTTAAAACCGTGTTTATGGAAGACAATCTTACTCGGCTACGAGGGATCGCCAAAGAAGAAGAGAAGGCTCTAAGCTTTGGTTTCTGACATAGTTTCCCTTCCGGAGCTTGCGTTCTGGGAATTTGGGGATGGGACTCCAGGGGAAAGACTCTAGTCCTCATGCCTAGAATATCTCTGACAACTTGCCGGCAAACGCTGCTATCCAGGGAGCGCTGTCCACGTGCGAAAACAGGAGACTGCAAATGGAACAGCGATGCTGTTCTTGCATGCTGTTCTTCTCACATCTATTTGCGGAATATTCTGTGCCAGCTGTGGATTATGGCCAGCATAACCGAAAGCCCCAAATGTGCCTGGCAACACTGCATATTTAGCTTCTTCTTTCTTTAAATCAGAACGGCTGGAGCCAAGAGCTGTTTCTGTTACGTGACACTGTGGGCGAGGCTTTAACTTTATATTATTTTAGTTAAAAGTTCCCAGAAGTCGATGCCGCAGGACTTGGAACCCACCTAGTCCCAACTGCATGCTCAGTGACCTTGAGTTCTGAACTTCTGGGTGGGGGGAAAACTAAGAGGGTTTTGAAATGGGCTATCTCTGCGCGTTCTGGCAAATTGTTCCTGTTCCCATCTATACCCTTCACTGCTCACCTTCGGTCTGTCTCTGCAGCAACCCTCCCAGAGGCTTTGAGAGGAACGCGTTGAGGGTTTTTTGAAGCTTAAAACAAATGGGTGTCCCATAGGACTTCTTTTCCGAACAGCTTTCTGCTTCCCTCCAGTGAACACTGCACAGGCTTGTGTGGCAGAAATTGTTCCTCAGGTGCTGCGAAGCAGAAATCAGGGGGTGTAGCTTTTTGATACTGATATAAATATGGGAGGTTTTGAAAGCAGAGTGTTGTGCCCCCAGGCTGAAATGTGAATGCGTCGGGGAAGGGTGGGGAGCCCTCGTAATTGCTGCCCGTTGGGTGCAAAACTGGAGTTGGCTGCAAAATAGGAACCGGCTTTTGATTTCCCACTGAGCTTTGGCTCCACACAGCTTGTAAGGCCAGAGGGGAAGGGAAGCCATTTGACGCTCTTTGAATAAACAACTTTGTAGAGACTTGATTTCTACTGAGCTGAGGCTCGGTGGAGACACCAAGGTGACCCAAATTCAGTGCCAGAAATCTGTATGAACAATGCAAATAATCCTGAATTTTCCCATTTGTGCTTCTGTTATTTGCTGGTAGGAAAAACCCCCTCCAAAGATTTATTCAAGGCTGTGTAGCAGTCCCCATCACTGACGGAACCCTTCTCAGCCCAGCCCCATAACACTGGGGACTTTCCCACACTTTGAAGTGTTTTCAGCCTCACGGGCCAGAAACTTGCTTTTATAGCTGATGTTTGAAGCAGAGATTCTTGGAATACTGAAGTACGTTGGCCAGTACCAATTTCTGTTCCTGGGGTGGTGCGACAATGAAGTCATGGAACGGGCACAGCAGCGAAAAGAAAAGGAAGCCTTGTAGTATATGCAGAGAGCAGAGCCAGCATCACTGAGCAAAATAAGGCAGACTCTACCAATATATTATTTAGATGCCCAAGTAGCCCAGGCATTGTGCAAAAACTGTTGAAAGAGAACATGTCGCAACCTGAAAGCTTTACAATAGAAATCTTCAGCTTGTAATTTAAATTTTGCAAAGGGGTAGTGTATCATTTTTATGTGCTGAATATCAGCAAGTAACGCCCTTTCCTTTCCTGGAACGCTGCTTTTCAGTATTGTTGCTGATTTATGGAATGTGGCATCGCATGAAAAAACATTACCGGTTGTATTTTGCTGCTCGTCTAAATAGCAACAAGTGTTGCGGCGGAGAGCGCTTTTAAAAAATGGCAAAAGGCAAGAAGCATAATGGAGGTGAGAGGTGTCGGGGATTGGCTGGACCGAAGAGGAGTAGTGGGAGCCCCAAGGGAAATCCCAGAAGAGGAAGGATCAGAGGCCGGGGATTGGTGGTGGGGCACTGAGGGGAGGTCAGAGGGAGAATTGGATGCTGAAGGGGCAACAGGGTTTAGTGAGCAGGAAGAGCCGGTGACAGGGAGCAGTTCAGACTCAAAGGATGAAGCAGAGGAGGGGGGTTCAAGAGGCTGCTGAAGAATCCAGGGAGTCTCCCTCTTCAGCTGCGACAAGCTCCCCTCCCTGCTGGTCTCCAAGAATGAGCAAGATAATGAAGAGAGCAGAACAGAGGCCAGAGGTGCGCAGACGCAGTTTGAGACTGCTTGGGAAACATCCGGGAGAGGAGGAGCCTTAGACGGGGTGGAAGGCAGGGCCCTTCAGTCCTGGCAACTGCTCCATAGGGGCAAGACCTGCTGAGAAGTGTTGCTGAGTTGTATGCCGATTCCTTGAATAAAGAGTTAACTTTATTGACAACGGAGCCTTGCGTCTCTCGTGCTGACCTGTGTCTGACTCCAGCCCTGACAGCAGGTGATTGAGCCAGTTTTTCTAACCTCACTGTACTTTATTTCCCGATTTTGTTCCCTCGCAGTGGCAGGGGGAGACGCAGGAGTTCTGCCCCAGCGCCAAGGTGGTTCTGGTGGGCTGCAAACTGGACATGCGCACTGACCTGAACACTTTACGGGAACTTTCCAAACAGCGCCTTATCCCCGTCACACATGAGCAGGTATGTTGTCGTCGTCATTGTTGTTTTCCTTAGAGCCTGGGCTCACCGTGCGTAACTCAGTGCTAGGCCTCGATTTCAAGATACATTAATAAAAACGGAGACTGGCTCTGAGCAGGCAAAAAGTGTTTTTCAAGTAAGTGAGATAGGAAGTCCTTGGTGCCAGAAGATGTGGGTGTGAGGCAGGCTTGAGCCTGCCCACCCCCTGTAGCACCTCCGCTTTTAAAAACTGATCATTGGCCTTGAGATAATAATAATAATAATAATAATAATAATAATAATAATATGCCGCCCATCTGACTGGGTTACCCCAGCCACTCTGGGTGGCTTCCAGTAAATTAAAACACAGTAAGATAGTACAAGGGACGCAGGTGGCACTGTGGGTTAAACCACAGAGCCTAGGACTTGCCGATCAGAAGGTCAGCGGTTCAAATCCCCGCAACGGGGTGAGCTCCCGTTGCTCGGTCCCTGCTCCTGCCAACCTAGCAGTTTGAAAGCTCGTCAAAGTGCAAGTAGATAAATAGGTACTGCTCCAGCGGGAAGGTAAACGGCGTTTCCGTACGCTGCTCTGTTTCGCTAGAAGCGGCTTAGTCCTGCTGGCCACATGACCCAAAAGCTGTACGCCGGCTCCCTTGGCCAGTAAAGCGAGATGAGCGCCACAACCCCAGAGTTGATCACGACTGGACCTAATGGTCAGGGGTCCCTTTACCTTTAAGACAGCAAACATTAAAAACTTAGGGTTCAGAAGTCTGAAGGATGTATAGATTCTTGCACCTGACATGTGCAGGAGCCAAACGTATGTATTGCCCCAGTTGACTACAAGCACCCAGTGCATGTAAGCTACGTTTATCTTCTCTGGTTTATGCACTTGTGTGTGCATGTGTGTGTGTGTGTGTGTGTGAATCCCTACCCCCAGAAGTGTTTTCTGGCAGGAAATGAGTGGAAGGCAGCAAAAAAAAAAAAAAAAAAGGACCGCAGGGCAGGTAATTGCAGGTGATGCGAGCTAACGAGCCAGCCCATGTTCTCAGGGCTGCTAATTAATCATCAAAATGGGGGGGGGGGAATGATTTCCCAACCCATATATGGTCACGTTTGTAAAGAATTCCTCTCTATCCTCTCTGTGCTGTAGCCCACCCTGTGGCCAATGAAATGAGCAGGACGGAAACCAAGGTGAATAAAACCCCAACCCTGTATGTTCAGAGGCAAGTGCATCTGAAGTACCAGGCAGGAAGGGACAAAGTGCCAGAGGCAGCGCACTCTGCGATGCTCCTTTTGCACTTTTCCCCGGGGTGGGGCAGGGGACAGAGGGGAGCCGAATGGCAACTGAGAGCGTTAGTCTCTGCGTGCCAACCCAACAAGGCAAGTGCTTAACATTGCTTTGCACTCCGGCACTCACAAACCCCAGCCTTTTTCTCACCCCTCGCTAGTTTTACACACCAGCCCTTCCTCCCTTGCTCGTTTTGTGTTATATATATATTTTTTAAAAGAAGCACTTTGCTCTCTTTCTACCTTCTAGGGAAAGAACTAAAATTAACTGCTAGCTGTGATGTTAAAGAAACACATGGAGTTAGCAGCGTCTAGGGAAGGTGGTGAGCTGAAAGCATCTGGTGGGGGCTCCGTATTAGTGCTAGGAGTACGAATACTGTGGGGGGGGGGTTTAGAGGACGGAAGGGAGCAGGTCTTGGCAAAATCAAGGGGGAGGCTTATGAAACCAAGGTGAGAGAGAGAGAGGGAAAAAGCAGAAGAATAAATATGGGGGCCAAATTCTGGCGTAATGTTTTGGTGCTTTTCTCCCCCCCCGCTCCCCCCCCCCTGCACAGGGCAGCATTTTGGCCAGGCAGCTGGGTGCCGTGGCGTACGTGGAATGCTCTTCCAAGGTTTCGGAGAACAGCGTGCGGGACGTTTTCCACGTGACCACCCTGGCGTCCGTCAACCGCATCCACAAGCACCTCAAGCGCAGCAACTCAAAGCGAGGGCTGAAGCGGGCGGCGCAGTTGCCCGCTCGGACGGACTTGTTGACTGACCCCGAGATCCGCAAAGACCGGGCCAAGAGCTGCTCGGTGATGTGAGAGGAGACGGAGGAGACCCCCCAGGGGCTGAAGCAGAGCACTGCCTGTCTTGTTCATATCTCTTTGTACAGTATTTGGTCAGGGGGAGGTCTCTGCACCGTTCCCCGGGATGTAGGCCCGAGGGAAAACAGGCAGCCTTCCCCCAGAAAAAAACGTTTCTGCCTGAAGCCGCGAAATGCTATGCATACATTGACAACGTCTGGATGTGGGGCTAGTATTGCACAGGACACAGAAAATGCTCAGGTAGCGGATGACCTCCAAGGAAAAGGAGCGCATCACTGCGTGAGGCACAGATATCGGGGGTGGGCGGGTGGGCAGAAATCTTCTTATTCTCTTCAGAGCAATTATTTTGGAGCTAGCGTATGATGTGTAGGTTGCCCGGGCCACTGGCCTCTTTGTACAGCCATGGCGTGGGGCAGTCAAGCCATGCCTTTAGCATGTGTACATGTGTGTGTGTGTGTGTTTGTGAATTGTATGCGCAAGGCGAAGTGCAGGGCTAGCGCTCCGGCACGGGTCCGGTCGCGGAATAAAGAGCTGCGGATGGGTTGGCAGAAAAAAAGGTGGTCATTTGAGAAGACAAAATGGCGGCGGGTGTGGGTAGGGTGCGTGTCGGTTTGGGAAAGGCGGGAGAAAGATGGTAGCGGAGGCTGGGGGGGCTGAAACGCTTTGTAGGGGAATGGTAAACAGAAGTGCATTTAAGGCCTTGGACCATGGGGTAGCTTCACTACTGGACAGGTGAGGCACGGCCAGGTAGGTGGCTGGCAGGACAGTTGGAGAGGTCAGGAGCTGTGTCGTCGGGCGCCATCTTTTCCTCACAGCATCCTCTCAGTCACACCCTCTAGTGCCTTCAATTGCAGGACATCCGTGCCTCTCTCATTTGCTTCGTATGATTCAAGAGATGGGAGAGGGACAACTGAACCTCTCAGAGCCACTCCAGCGTCACGGAAGGAGGCCATCCCCCCCCCCCCGTTGCCGTGCCTTCACCACTCTCTTGTTGCTTGAAATGCTTTTGACCACTGCATTGAGGCTGATGCCAAAGCAGAGTTTGGGTGGGAGTTTTTTCCTCATATCTTTTCCCTGGGGAAAAAGGAGGGGAGGAGAAGGAAGGACAGCTCCACTTCTGTGCCACGGGTAGTAAATTAAACAGGACATTGTTTTGGCAATTTATTGCTGCTGTTGGCTTCCAGTTCCGCGGCACTGCATGGTTTTGGTTTGCGCCAAAGAGAAGTCATTCTTTCGTTTTCCCTCAAAGCACATTTGTGTCTGAAGTCTCTCCTTCCCACTTTGTATCTGGACGATGCTGCTTTGGGGCAGCACGTTTATCGGGAGGTATGGAAATGCCGCCATGCAAATTCCCTCTTGAGAGGATTTGGAGAAATGGGCTTGATAGACAGGAGCGCAGCGTACGTGTGTGTCAAGAGGCCAGGAAGTATTGTCGCATTAGCATTCATTAAGGGCCCTGGCAGAGAGTGAGGTCGAGCCACGGATTGTTGCCAATGGACAAATCTGCAATGATTGGAGGAGGAGGAGGAGGAGAGGGAGAAAGCTGCTGACTTTGGGCCCTGGACCAGAGAAGGGAACAGAGGTGGCTGTGTGTGTCAAGCAACTTCTTCTTGCAAATCAAAATAATAACTCCATGCTCCCTAATATATCTGGGAATTCAGCCAGCATTGGGGTTGGGTACCGTTTTAGGTTCTTGATGGGTGTAAAGCTCGTTCTTCCTAAAACACAAACCAATTTAATTCTCACCGCCACCATTAACTTTTTCCACCCTCTGGTGCCATCGAAGGACTTTTCTCTGGATCAAATGCATGCAAAACTCTAAGGGGATGTGGTGGCTCTGGAGTCCAAGCCTGCCTGCAAAGTGTGATTTGGTTGTGTGGGAAACCACCTCTGCATATGGTCAGGTGTTCTAGGACTAAGAAAAAATAAAACAAAATCTGGAGCGGTCATGTGCTTCTAACTAAGGGGAGCAAAGGGATTTTGGGGACAGAGCCCCCCCGAGTTGAGCAAATGTCTTGTAGGCTGATCTCATACTCTCCAGCATTTCTCTGATGAAATTAGGGGAAACACTGAACATTTTTTTAAAAAACTTCCCTATACAGGGCTGCCTTCAGATGTCTTCTAAAGTTTGCCTAGTTACTTATCTCCTTGGCTTTGGGGTTGCATAACTCCATACCCTCCAACATTTCTCCGGCAAAAACGAGGATGTTCTAAAGAAAAGTGGGACATTCTGGGATCAAATCAGAAACCGGGACAGCTTCTGTAAATCCCTGGAAAATGGGGGCATTTAGAGGGTCTGTGATCTACCATGGCAGCACCCATTGAGATCAGGGTGTGGCTAACCTATAACCCTCCAGATTTTTTGGGCAACTGGCAGAATTCAGGCCACAAACTTGCCAACCCTGCTTATAGGTCTTAGTTTGAGCTAGGCCTCGGGTGTATCTCTGCATATGACGAAGAAGGGGGGTCTCCATTTTCTACCTCTCCTCTGAGCAGCCAGTGCCTTGTCCACACACACACATCATGACTTCAGGACTCTTGAGATTGCAGCGGCTGCTTTCTACTCTTGGTAGCCAACTCTTCTCGGTGGCTTCTCCCTTTCGAGTTAGCGGGCTGTGTGCCGCAGTTGCTCTGGCACCGAGGGATCTATTCACAGGCAGGATTAGCCCAGGCTGCCCGTTCATCCTCTCTGCCAAAATGAAATAAAAAAGGCACAATTGTTAACTGCGCTGGGTTTGAGGACAGCGGCTCCATTGTCCTGGCTGGGCAGCAGCTGGTGTTCCAGAATCTCCCTTCCAGCCTCTGCTTGGTCTGGGATTTCGACATGGGGTTATCTCAGGCCACGGTCGTCCATGAGGCCGCCATGGAGAGTCCTAAACCCCACACATCCAGGGCTTCATTGGTAAAAAGTGCATGCGTGTGTATGCGCAAGAGAGGGGAGGGTATCCGGATGGAAGATATGGAACCTTTTATCCCCATATATTTTGCCAGAATCGAGAATCTACAGACGGAAGGAAACCACAACGATCACCGAAAGATTTTGAATTTGATAGAAAAATAATAAGAATAAATTTTAGGGCTGAGGTGTTTAATTCCGTTTCTCTTCCTCCTCCCCGACCCCCCACTCACTCCTGCATCCCCAAATGCAAAATGTTTGGGCTAATTTGGCAGTTAGCAAGTTTTGTTTTGCGTGAGGGACGAAAGTCGGTCAGTCGCTTAGCATGACCTGCCCGCTAAGCCAAATAATTCCTTGGAGCTTGGGTATTTTGCCGTCAGCGTATGATTATTATTAGGCTTCTAATACATAAATTGCCTCCCCTGATGAGATGAAAACCTTATTAAGAGAACAATTCTTCCTCACAGAGTTGTGTTTTTCCTCCTCTCCCTCCTCAATAGTTCCTTTTGCTGCTCCATATTTGGTCTGCACTGGGAGGCATGGATGCTGAAGGAGACGTTTGCCAAATATTCGGGGTTGTTGTTTTTTGTCACTAGATTACTGGATGCCATTCCTTTGTTCGGTGTGTTCAGCTGTGTTTTGTAATGCAAGGCCTTGGCACAAGGGCCCTTTAAGAAGCCGGAGTGCCTCTGAGCATGGGCAAATGTACCTATGATTGTGTGCTAGGGGTTCTGGAAGGTGCCTGTCCTGAATAAAATAATAATGGCTGCCTTTCTTCTCCTTGCCCATGGCTGATAATGAACTATTAAGTGATGGGCACCTTGGAAGTTAAGAGTAATACATTGCTGCAGTGATTTTTCCTGTCAGGAATGGGAGCCTTCATAATTTATTAATCCTATTTTTAGCATAATAGTTCTGACCATAAATGAACCTCACTAAAGCAAATTTTCGAGGCCTTTATTAATCATTAAATAGCATCCTCTCAGTAAGCTGCTTGATAAAAGCTTCATAAACGCCCAAATTAACTAGCAGTGGGGCCCTGGGCATGGGTTGAAATTCAAAGGCTCCTTTTTGCAAACAAAACCCCCAACATTTTGGTGCTAAATTTGTGAAAGCTGGGAAGACAGGCAAGGCATTTGAAGTCATTGAAAGGAGATTCAGCCATCTTTGATGGTAATCTACCTCAGGGATTATCCCGAAATGTGTTTGAACATTATAGGTAGCCTATGACTCTCCAAATGTTCCTGGACTACAACTCCCATAATCCCTGGCCATTGGCTTGTTGTGGCTTTAATTCAGCAACACCTGGAGGGCCAAAATCTGGGGCCACCTTCCTCAGAATAGTCTACCCTGGACTCTGCTTCTATGTTTACCTCACTTCCACCTGGTTTGTAAAGCCAGCGAGAGTCAATGGAGTCTGGTGGGTGGGAAGGAAGAGCTTGTCTTCATCTCTGAAGTGGACATGTTTTTAATTCCTGAAGATGTTCCTGGAAAGTGTCCAAAATGATCGAGGGCCTGGAAATGAAGCCTTATGAGGAACAGTTGAAGGAGCTGGGTAGGCTTAGCCTGGAAAAGAGGAGGCTGAGAGGAGATACGATAGCCATCTTCAGATATCTCAAGGGCTGTTCCATGGGAGAGGGAACAAGCTTGTTTTCTCCTGCTCTGGAGGGTAGGACTCGAACCAAGGGCTTCAAGTTACAAGAAAGAGGATTCCGATTAAACATCAGGAAGAACTTTCTGACAGGAAGAGCAGTGAGACAGTGGAACAGACTCCCACATGAGGTGGTGGACTCTCTTTCATTGGAGGTTTTTAAGCAGAGATTAGATGGCTATCTGTCATGGATGCTTCAGTTGAGATTCCTGCATTGCAGGGGGTTGGACTGGATGACCCTCGGGGTCCCTTCCAACTCTACAATTCTATGATTCTAAGTAGTGGTGGGCTTGAAGTCTACCTGCCATGACGCTATGGCTGCTGCCTTGGTGGCAACCCTCAAGTGTGTGGTTGTAACTACTTGGTAGTGAAGGGTTCATTGCTGTCAACTTACAGATTTGAAAATAAGGGACCAGCAGACTCAAAAATAAGGGATCTGCGGCCAAAATAAGGGATTTTCCAAGCACAGGTATGTTCAATTTCTGAGCCCCTCCGAGCCAAAGGCAGAAAGCCCAGCCAGCAGCCAAACGAAGCCTCAAGCAGTGGTTCCCACAGCGCAGCAACCCGACAAAGGGGATGCAGCAAGGAAAACCACCATCACCTCTCCGCTGGGAAGCGCTGAGCAAAGGCGAGTCCCCAAGCAACGTGGCCGATTTGATTGGCACAAGGCATGCAAGCTCCACCCCCCAGTCGTTCTCAGACTCCTTACTGGGTGAGCAACGCAGCCAAGCAACACAGTTGGAGCCTCCCTGGCCGACAGGAAGGGAGGGAGAGGAGCTGCTTCCTTTGAAACCCGGGAAATGTAAGGGACATCATCAATAAGGGACAGCAGTGGGACACAGCACTGGGATAAGGGAGTTTCCCGCCAAATAAGGGACAGTTGACAGCTATGCTCAGGTTCAGTTTCCTTCTCTCCAAGCAACATTGCAAGGTCCAGTCAGGAGCCCTGCTTCCAGAGTTGGAGAACGAACAGATCTTGTTTATGAGCTTTTGCTTTCTCGGGGTGTGTTGCTACTTGAATGATACATAACGCTCCGCTCACGAGTTTTAGCTGCCTGTCGTTGCTAGGCATTGCCCCGAGGTGCAGAAGGAGTTGGCTGAGGATCAGGTGGCTTCCTTCAACCCTGTTCTATAATCCCCAACAGAGAAGTGTTTGGAGATCAGGTTTATGGAACTGGAAGAGAGACCCAAAGGCTCTTCTTTCCAGGACGGAACACCCACATAGGCCAGTTCACAAAAGCCGGAAGCCGTGTGCTACAAGTCGAGAGTAGGGATCCTCTTCTTAAAAATGCTGATATCTCCAGCAGTTTTCTTATTCACGTGGCTTATTGCTTATCTAGACAAAAACAAGCTGTTGACATAATTCCCAAGTGGACTTTCTACCTTTGCAGCTGCAGGGAAAGCTGAGCAGGCTTTTTGCAGGTTGGGGTTAAAGCATCAGAAGGAAGCCTGTCCTCATTTGCTGCCTATTGGCATACCTTAGAACATCTCTCCGATGAAAATAGGGACATCCTATTCAATAATTGGGTGGCGGGTGGAGCTGTGGGTTAAACCACAGAGCCTAGGACTTGCTGATCAGATGGGGTGAGCTCCCGTTGTTCGGTCCCTGCTCCTGCCAACCTAGCAGTTCGAAAACATGTCAAAGTGCAAGTAGATAAATAGGCACCACTCCGGCGGGAAGGTAAACGGCGTTTCCATGCGCTGCTCTGGTTCGCCAGAAGCGGCTTAGTCATGCTGGCCACATGACCCGGAAGCTGTACGCCGGCTCCCTTGGCCAATAAAGCGAGATGAGCGCCGCAACCCCAGAGTCGGCCACGACTGGACCTAATGGTCAGGGGTACCTTTACCTTTACCTATTCAATAATTATAATTTTATTATTTATACCCTGCCCATCTGACTGGGTTGCCCCAGCCACTCTGGGCATCTTCAAATATATATAAAAACATAATAAAACATTAAACATTTTTTTAAAAACTTCCCTATACAGGGATGTCTTCTAAAGGTTGTCTAGTTATTTATCTCCTTAGCTTGGGAGTCACATAACTCCATACCCTCCACCTTTTCTCCAATAAAATAGGAAAATTGGGGCATTCCGGGATCAAATCTGAAAGTGGGATGGCCTCTGTGCATCTGGGACTGTGCCTGGAAAATAGGGATACTTGGAGTGTCGGTATTGGTGGAGGTTGGACCATGCCCAACAAAATTTGCTTCTCCCTTTGCAAAAATTTCTTAAGCTGGTGATTCACAGCATTAACAGCCAGCTCTTCGGAAGAGTTCGACCAAAGCAGAAACTTGTGGCTGTCACAAGCTGTGGCTGCCATTTTCTTCTGGGAACCAAAGAACCCAAAATGAAAGACTTCTAAGGTGTAGCAGTTGCCAGGACATTACTCTGTTCACCTCCGCGTTTCAGACATTGTGATATATATATATTGGTATATCACGATGTTTAGCTAGTGATATATCACAATGTTGAAAACCAGACACCGTTCGGCCCTGCTCTCCATCCCATTTGGGTATTAGGACCTAGGGAGAAGTTAATAATGGTTTGCTAGAGGGCATAGTGGTGAGCAGAACAGAACACCTTCTGGGAACCACAGGAAATGAGAATTTATGGTCAGAAAGTCCCGTTTCTCCTGGGTTCCTGCAGGACATTCCATAACCTTTGGGGATGTAGCAGAGCAGTACTATTCCCAACCAAACCTCTCAACAGACATGATTCACTGTCGGCAGAGCCTTCTATCAAAGGCTGTGGCTGCAGACAAACATGCCAACTGTATATTATTTAACACAGGATCTTGGCTGTGCTCCCGTTTCCAACCATCGCTGACCGTTGGCCTTACTGGGTGGAGGTGATGGGATGTGGGAGTCCATCAACATCTGAAGGACAGCCACAGTAGCTACCTGCTGGTTTAGCAGATGTAGACAGGCACAAGTGGATACTCCATAAGGGACGCGGGTGGCATTGTGGTTTAAACCACTGAGCCTCTTGGGTTTGCTAATCAGAAGGTCAGCGGTTCGAATCCCCACGACAAGGTGAGCTCCCGTTGGTCTGTCCCAGCTCCTGCCAACCTAGCATTTCGAAAGCATGCCAGTGCAAGTAGATAAATAGGTACGGCTGCAGAGGGAAGGTGAACGGCGTTTCTGTGCACTGTGGCTTCCATCACGGTGTCCCATTGCGCCAGAAGCGGTTTAGTCATGCTGGCCACATGACCCGGAAAGCTGTCTGAGGACAAAGACCGGCTCCCTCAGCCTGAAAGCGAGATGAGTGCCGGAATCCCATAGTTGCCTTTGACTGGACATAACTGTTCAGAGGTCCTTTACCTTTTTGCCTTGTGTTAAGTTGCGGGTGAACATATCAGACGACACAGCGATTCTTCAAACAGCTCTTGTTTATTCACAGGCCAGAACAGAACTGAACTGAAGGGTTCAGCCAGCCTGCTTATATAGAGCTCCACTACAATGCAACAGTAACAACTTTCTGTAACTATCCAATCACTGAACATCACTTTCAATTCCTTATTTGCATATGTGGACCTGAGTGAAAATTATCTACAGTATCCCCCTGCTGGTCCAGGGTGAGAACTTCAGTACATTCTATGGGTGCGCATCCACTCCTGGCAGACATAGCCAAGAGAGAGTGTCCAGTGATGTCCAAACCAAAGCATCTTTCTTAAGATGCTCAAACCACGCCTTGTCCCAGCCAGCATGAAATAGGAGCTACAGACACCCCTTTCCCTCCCTCCCCACCCCAAATGCTTTGTGCTGTGGAAGGAAACAAACACGGCCTTTGTGTTCCCGACTGAAGCAGTTTTATCTAAATAAAAGCAGAGAGCCCCACATGTTTGTCAAGCTTGCGCCAGCCTTTTTCCAATTGATGCTCTGGAATGATGGCCTATGAAAGACTGAGCTCTGAGCCAGATTGGTCCAAAGTGCCACCTGGTGTCAAAAGCAGTGCTTGTGTGCTTTGGACGGTAGCAACTCCAACCAAAATGTATCATTTTAAGACTGAAAGGTTTTAAGAGAACCTTTGGCCAACAGCTCAAATGGGGCACCTAATTTAGGTCCCATGAGCAGTGGGGGATGGGATTAAAGAGAGGGCCCCCCTCCCCAAAAAAGCCTACAA